AATAGTGTAGGTACTTAATTATTTAGGACCCTGTAGTAGATGACGGCTTCCGTTGCCTTCTCGCATGTTCGGCATGTGCCGCTGCAGCGCCGTGAGCATGTGAGGAAGCCATGCCTTCCACCAGGAAGACTGAATATGTTATAGCACATGATAGAGTATAATATATTATTTGCAGTATATTTTAAAGCATATCATATACAGCATATTACACTGGCTGTGTGCCACAATGTACGATGCCAAGCTTTAGTACAGCCGGCATGAAAGTTCCAGCTTAGACTGCATCAGGCTGGACAGGTTGTGAAGCACACGCCGTGTCGCTGCATTGAACAGTCTAGGTCGTAGATGCCTTGTCTCAAAACTTGTTGCAGCATGTTCCGGCATTCTCGTGTCATAAGAGTTCGCATCACGGTCTAGCATAACCCCTTCGTTTAATTCTCGCATCACAGTGCTAGATCCGCTTGACCAAGTTGTGTTTGTTGTGTACTATCGTTACCGATCAGCCACGATCTCGTGCAGAAAAGCACACGTTCACAAACAACCCTAGAGACAGGAATTTGTGCACAGTACGTACACAAGGCCAGAGTTTAGGGTTCAAAAGGCAGGATGTCACTCTTTGAGAAGCTTCCCCGAACCCCCCAGGTACCCAATATTTAGGGTACTAGAGCCCCTAGGGCCCTATATAGTAGGTACCTGCAGGGTTAGGGTTCTTTACAACCGGATCAACCGTCCAAGCAACAAGCAACCTGCTGCTGCTAGTTCTACTTCTGTGAGGCTCACTATTACCGCTGCCCTCCTACTACCGGCTCTGTCAGTACCACTACGACTGCAGCAACACTACAGCGATTGCTTCCACCAAAACAGCACGAACACGATGACGGCGACAGCAAAAACGGTAAGTATAGCACCATCAGTAGACGAGAGCTTCGTTAATCAGGCGCAGCCGCCGCAGCAGAGTAGCTCAGTAATCACAGTACGACGTATTTCCTGTTGCCGCAGCGCCAGAACCACAGCTGCAGCCAGAAGAGTTTTGTATATACCGGGTTTCGGGGTGTCGGGGCCAAGCAGTGCGCCAGTAGCCCTAGTGCTGAGGTTCAGAAGCTTCTTGCCATCCATCAGAGAATATATAAGACAAAGGCTGGTGCTTGTGACAATTGTTCCTCGTCAATGCGATTTTAGGGCTTAGGGTCCCTTACCCCTGAACACTCTACCCCATCGTGTGACCCGAGTACAGCGATCGGAAACCTGCTAGGATCCAGTGTGGCTGCCTGAATAATCACTGAAACTATTCGTTAGGGCTCCTTACTACGCTTATAACTTATATGGCAACATACCCCCAAAACCTCATTCCAAGATGTCTTTGCTGTTCCTTATAGCTTAGAACGGTTATGCTCTAATACACCGCAACACCCTGCTGTCATCGTTAAGGAACCCTAAACCCTAAACCCTAAACCCCTAAACCCTAAACCCTAAACCCTAAACCCTAAACCCCTAAACCCCTAAACCCTAAACCCTAAACCCTATATCTTCGGGCGCCGGCCCAGGGTCGAAGATTTTAAACAAAAGTCTCCCCGAACACCGGAGCCCATGAACCAACGCAGCAAAGCAGTACAACCTGACTGCCATACATGTGTACACTCGATAAGTAGATAGATAGGTAGATAGATAGATAGATAGATATATAGATAGATAGATAGATAGATAGATAGATAGATAGACAGACAAATAGATAGGTAGCTAGACAGATACGTAGATAGATAGATGTGTAGATAGCTAGATGGATAGATAGGAAGATACATAGGTAGATAAATAAAAGGATCGAAAGATAGATTCAAGTAGATGGATAGAGAGAGAAAGAGAGGGAGCTGATTCTTGTTATTCTGAAGTATGCCAGTCTTACATTTTACAAGCTGCCTCCGGATCGAGCCGGAGTGAAGCACCGGATCTGAGTACTCTCACCACCTTGGACGCGGAGACTCAAAGAATTGAATAAGTTGATGAGATAAATCCTGCATTACCCATCATAAGGAATATACCATAATTTCCATTGTTTAGGGTCCTTAACGTAATGCAGGATTAAAATCGTCAACAGTCGTTCTCTGAATTAGGGCAATTTCTTTGGGTGCAGTATGAGAGTGTGGACCCAAAAGGCAATCCAATTGGGACCCTAGTTTAGAAAACTAGCCATATTGGAATTGTAGCAAGATGACGAGACAACAACGAGGACCACCATTACTACCGCTTCTGGCACAACTATTGACTGATCGTAATTATCTTAGAAGGACAAGTGCCAGTCCATGAGCAGTGTCTATGTTTCTGGTGTACATAGGAGTCATCGTAGATGGAGCTGTAAGGCAGTTGGAGCACCACAGTTGCTATCGTCGTTGCATTCACCTTGTTCCGAGGTGTGTGGCAACATGTGCTCTTGCTTGATGCCCAAGTTATCCGATGGACCCCTGTTGCGCCTTTTACACGAACTCGGATACTCGTCTCATAAACAAACGCAGGAGGAGCCCTTCACCAAGCCATACGAATATTCGTAGGGAAATCTGCGTGGTACGAAAAACTACATGTCGCTTTCCAAGACCCTGAAGTTGCTCGGCACACATTTTCTGTCGTTTGTTAAACTGCCTGCTTCAGACCCTGTTCCCAAAAGCCCGCCGAAAAAATAAAAATAAACACCGCAGAGGGCCTAGAGCCTAGACCCTGCAATGCCTTAGCCCTTTCAGCGGCCAACCCCAACCCCCAACACTGCAACTCCTACACCCCACTCAAATTATAAAATCATTGCGCTCTGGAACCTACACATTCCTGCATTCATCTGCGAATCTACTGTCTGTCGCTGCCATGCCGGCATGACATTGTTAAGCCGCATTGCTACGCCTTCTTTACAAGTGTCCTTGTTGCTACAGTTTGACCCCTAATTAAACTCTACAGCCTACCCCCAAAACCCTAAACCCCAAAACCTACACCCTAAACCCTGAACTAGACCCCAAACCCCCAACCAGAAAACCTAAAGCCGTCACGTGGCTACTTCGGCAAGCATGAAGTCCGCTCTTGCCAGGATCCCCACACGCCGGGGCGACGCATCTGAAGCCAGGTCTTCGATCCGGCCTCCAAAGGTTTAGGGTTACTAGGGTTTAGGGTTTAGGGTTTGGGGATTAGGGATTAGGGTTCAGGGGTTATTCGGGGCTTCTGAAAGTCAAGGGTACCTTGTGTATGGGTCCGATCTGTTTCAGGATACTACTATATTCGGGTTTCCTTGATATGGGGTTCCACATCTTCGGAAGCTCCCCTAGCCCCTGCGGTTGTTGCACGTATTCCTGGGTTTAGGCTTGAGGGCGCTTCGGCTTGTAGTCGTGGTAAGGTTCAGGAAGGACGGTTCGGATCACTTTTTGCCACTATGGTCACCACTATATTGCCGTCGAGACTACCAACATGCATATGAGTAGTGCTAGTGCCAAATCCTGGCATGCCCTCGAACAGGGGCGTACTGCTCTCTGCAAATATGTGCTTTTCCTGTTGACACAGTTAGACGTCTAAAGAGCACTGTACATTTGCACTTCGATAGCGTCCTAAAGAGTATCCTTACTCGATCAGGCTTCTAGGAGTCGCGGCTTGCGCGGATGAATCCTGCTAGAAGTTATTCTGCCGAATCCTTGGTCTCCTTCCCCTGCATCTTTGAAGCTTTCCCTAAACCCTTCCTAAAGAACCCAACCCCTAAACCCTCAACACTAAACCCTAAAGAACCCAACCCCTAAACCCTTAACGCTCAACCCTAAAGGCCCTAAGCCCTAAACCCCCTAAACCTTAACCCTACAGGCGCTAAACGCTAAGCCTTTGCACAGCCCCGGCCAGCAGTCTGATAAGGCCTCCTTTCCGGGAAGTATAGGGGCTCCTTCAAGGGTGATTATAAGGGTTCCGTGAAGGGTTGTCTTAAGGGTTTAGGGTTTAGGGTTTAGGGCTTATTATAAGGGTTCCGTTAAGGGTTGATATAAGGGTTCAGGGTTTAGGGCTTATTATAAGGGTTCCGCTAAGGGTTGATATACGGGTTCTTGTATGAGGAAGACTGCAGCGTGAACGGAACATCAAACCTCCGAGCAAAGGCCGTGGCACCTTGAATTCGAGCTCGTCCCGGCGCCTAATCCTAAATCCTAAACCGTAATGTAAGGACCTTATTAATTAGAATTGAGTTTTGGGAGCCATTATGCTACAATATAAGGAATCCCCCATCCTAAATCCTAAACCGCAATGTAAGGGCCTTAATAAGTACAGTACAAGAGGGTTTTGGGGGCCATGATACTATAGCTATATTAAGGAACCCCCCAAAACAGTATTGGTAATTATTGAAGCCCCTACATTGACAGGACTCTATCGTAAGCCCCAATCCCGGCCTTCGATGCCTTTGAGGAGGTTCTCGTCCGCAAATCCCAGGGCTGCGAAAGAGCCTGGGCTCTTCGGCGAAGGCTTCAGAGCTCTTGGGTTTGAGGGCTCGCATTTAAAGGCTCAGGTTTAGGGTTTAGGGTTTAGGGTTTGGGGTAGCAAAGATATACCATACCACGAACAATAAAGGTCGAGGAATACTCATGTTGTACTCGCAACAGTCCAGCGAAAGAGCTATAGCATGCCATTTGTAGGCTATGACTAGTGGACACTGCGAAAAAGTTTCTAAACCTGACAGCAGCCGGTGTTCCGACTGGGCAACAAATTGAACAGAGTTCGAAATTTAGGGTTTAGCTTCGGGGCTTCGGGCTTGGAGAACTTGCATGTTGCTATGTCTTGAGTGTACGAACAGAGCTTCCAAACACACACGCACACACACACACACACAAATTTGTTCTGCATCAGTAGCTTTGCACGTGAACAGTCTGCTGATGCTGAGGAACTTGCCGTCCACAACAGTAGTTGAAGAGTTGATGAGCGCTTCGCAACGAAATCGAAAAGCTGGAACACCCTATGATAGGTTGGAAACCTAGAGGCGCAACTAGCAGGTGGCCGTGTCCTTTAGTCTTCACCTGCGAAACCAAGCAGTGATCCCAAGCTCGCCGACATTCAGTCTCCGGGCTTTCCAGCATGAGGCTGCGGCCTAGGACATCTTCGATCTGTGGAGGGAAAAATTCCTGCAATTGTCAGACCAAATACAGGCACCTAGTGCGCAAACAGCACAGCTGTAGCAGCTCAAACACGCATGTGTCAACTGTCAAGTATGTTTGCAATCATGTTAGTTGCTCGTCCTGGTAGCAGCCGTCGGTGTTCAAGCCACTCCAGAGAGGGTGAAACCGGTGGTGTCGTTGATGGTGCAGTTCAAAAAGGTTCACACAAACGCGCCCAGTTCCAGTCAGCCTTGTAAGAAACCTCGCATTTTTTAGGGTTTAGGTTTTGGGTTTAAGGCTAAGGGTTTGAGGTTTGAGAGTCAGCAAGCGGAGGCTTTGTCCTCGGCATGGCCGTAGTACCTTCGAGAGAGCCTCAGCAGATTTGCAAACAGGGAGATGCTCGACAAACCGTGCGCTTGTTCCAGGATCCAAGTAGGTCCAGGTGCCGCTGTAGTAACCTCACACCCTTGCGCTTACGCCCTAGACAAGAATGCTGCCGTATACTCCACTAACAGCATCACGAACAAGGTAATGCTGCTGAGCAGAACAATCATGATGATACTGGTTCTTGTTGAGGAAGTTGATTTACGTGGCCATAATCGGGGTCTACAGTAAACCATGATAAGGTTTCCTTATTATTATGCTAGCAGAATCAGTTTCTTAAAAAAGGAGCAAAGGATCGCAGTATTCCTCACAACTCAGACTCCAAGCAACACCCGCCCTCATAAGCCCTGGAGTCTCTGGAGCTCAGGAAGTGACGCCGCCAAGAGCTTGACATCTGCATTCTGCTCCTCGCCAAAGGGCCGGCCCAGGATCTTTCGAGAAGTAGTTGCGGGACAAGGAACTTAACCTGGAAGGCTTGCTTCAGGTATCAGGTAGTATGAAAGCAAAAAGCTAGACACACAGCATACATACTGCACTTTCCGACGCAGACCGATTCATTCGTATGCCCTTCCTAGCTACGGACATAAAGATATGCGTCACACAGAGACGGAATTTCCCGCATTCCATCCGCCTCGGGCCCCCCCAATAATTCCATGTCGAGCTCGACAACCGCAATCAGTCGCACCAGGGTTTCAAGCAGTTCTGCCCACCATTACCACTCAACATGAAATGGCTGCCAGGTGCCATCTGCAGTGTGTGACAGGCGGCAAGCATACCACAAGCCAAACGATGGCATCGATCTGGTACAGCTTGCGTTCGTGAAGGGTCAGACGGCTGAGACCGCACAGATCGGAACGGGGGTGGTTTGACCAAACTTGGCACCCTAAGCCTCGAGATCTTCCAAACGACTGACCAGTGGATATCTGTAACCTCTCCAATAAGAAAAACCTACCACCCGACATCCCGAGACCCTTCGTCCGTGCCCTAGCCGGTTTGTGGATCTCAGGGTTTGGTTACTACCAGAAACGGCCCGAACAATTCTGCATATGGGTAGTTCTCTGAATAGGACCCCTTTTAGGGTTCTTTTGATAAGGGTGCCGTACTATACTCGGAACCCAAAAAAGGGACCCTAATTTAGGGAACTACCCATATCAAGCTGCAACCTCCACTTGAAGTCATGAAATCCCATCCTCCCAAACCCCCCGACCCTAAACCCTAAACCCTAAATCCTAGGGTTTAGGGTTTAGGGTTTAGGGTTTAGGGTCTCAAAACCCACAGACTCTCAGCTCCTGAGCAAGCTCCTTCAGGGTGCTGACTACTTGGTCAGCACTCATCGTGGGAGCCTCTCTAGACTTGGGTAGTTCTCTATATGGGAATGTCAGAAAACTAGGGTACCTTATTTTGGGGTCCTTATAATAAGGATCCTACTAGTTGGGGTCCTATATCAGGGTCCCTTATTTTCTGAAACCCCCATATGAGGCTCCCTTTTAGGGTCCTTTTTTATGGGTGCCGTTCTATTTGGGGGACCTAGAAAGGCACCCTAATTTAGAGAACTACCCAGATGTCTTGTCGTTGAAGACGGCGTTGGGACTTGAACCGGGAATTTGAAATCGAAAGATGTGGGCAGAGTGTTGGGGCGAGTTTTTCGAATGATCGTGCAGGAGGTGTAAAGAATCGTAAACTAGACGATACATTCCAAGAAAACCGTATCGCGGGAGGTCGCGGACCCGGGTCATTGCGAGATGCTTCGAACCTTCAGAGAAAGCACGTCTGTGACACAGCAACGTGTTCGCGCAAGATCGTCTTCCAAAGTCCCAGGACCTGAAGCAACACCTGCAAACATCGAAAGGCTATAGCACCCAGGTATATACATGATTTCACTCGGAAGTTGAGGACAAACCTCTGCAGAGCTGTAAAACCCAAAACTTTCGCTGCAACTTCTGGGTAAAACTGTGACCTACAGCCCCAGATTCCCGAGTGGTGATCTCAAAACCCCCTAAACCCTGAATCGTAAACCCCACAATATCCTGACCCGCCTCAAAGAAGCGGACAAATGGCAGAGTCGCATCTTGGCACTTTATCCTCGGCTCGTGACTTTCGCAACCGTTGTAAGTCTCCCTAACCGCCCAGGCACCTAGTCTATGGGGTACTAGAGCCCCTAGGGCCCTTCATAGTAGGTACCTGGCGGGTAAGGGTCTGATTGTCAGCACATCTTCTCTGCATGCTCATCAGTCAAGTTTCATGTTTCGCCTGGCATGTGTCCTAGCGCTTGCTGCGCGCTCTTCTGCTTGCCACGACGATATGATAAGGGTGGCTATGCATGATGCGGATTTTGAACACAGCGACGACAACAATGAAACGACTCACCGCGACGAGGACTGCGCCAGCAGTCAATATAATGATGAATACGCACAGGCTGATGATGGTATCGGAAGAACACATCGTATTCATGCCACAGGAAGTTGGCTACCACGGTTGTGGCGAAGCAGCCGCAAGCTTCACTAGTTGTGAGTTCCATGCTCGCGTGCTTTGTTGAGGATGCTGCTGATTAATGGTTCGTTTGCTTGCTTGTTCATGTGCTCTATATGTATATATGTATATATGTATGTGGGTGTGTGTGTGTGTATGTGCGCGTGCAGTATTTCGTGTTTGCACTCATGCTTGCCGTTGCCGATAATGTCGTTACTGTTGTTGCTGCTGTTATCTTCATGTGCTGCCAGCTTGTACTTTGCTGCCGATTGATGCACAGTGCTGCTCGTTGCTAGTTGTCGTCGTTGCTGATATTGCTGGTGTTGTCCACTGCTCGTTCTCCAGCTTCCATGTTGTTGTAGCTGCGGTGTTGATTCTGCTGTTGGGGAGGTGCTGTTGTGGTGTTGGTCTTGGCTGTGGTTTGGTGGTGGAGGTGCCGGTGCTGGTGTTGGAGATATGGCAGTTGCAACGTTGGTGATGGCTGCGGTTTGGGCAAGGTGGTAGTTGTGAAAACTGCGGCTGTTGTAGTCATTGTTGTTGCCGGTGACATCGTTTGTTGTAGAATTGTAGGTTTGTTCAGTGCAGCGGAACAATGAAACCTCGCATTTGCCATGGAATTGTGTCAGCGAGCATCATAATGTACGGCTGTGTAGGCCCGCATGAAATATACGGGCCTGAATCATCAGAATAGAGTTTTGGGGCGCATGAGACTATGAATACAATAAGGAACCTCCAAAACCCGATTCTAATCAATAAGGCCCCTACATTAGCTGAAGCACATGTCCCACTGAGGTCGCCGCCTGTCTGCAATCCCACGTGCCTTTCAGCCACTGTGTTTTAGTATTAGGTGCATCTCTCAGTATGACTGTCAGTGTGGTTGTGGTTCTATAGCATTAGCCGAACCGATTCACATTAGCCTGCATCGCATCACTGGCATTCGCCGTGCCAGGGTATTCGAGGTTTAGTATTTGTGTTTCTGCAATTCGGCGGATGTATGTAATCCTGCGAACTTTAGAATGCAGCACACTGTCAGAACCAGCAGTGCCACTCGTAGTCCACATCACTAATTCGTCGTAGTGATAGAACTGAAGAACTGAAAGTCGCAAAATGCTCGGGCAGTTTTGCGATCCCCTTAACCCTAACTCCTAAACCCTAAAATCTTCCTCTTCCGCTCCTTGAGCACCGAGATTACTTGTGCTGTTCCCGGCGTGCCTAAGTGAAACGGTGAATTGCCGCCATGATTAGGATCTGCGAGCGTCTCTGAATTCATCTGTTTGCGGGCTTGGTCCTGGTGGAACCGTTGGTGTGTTTCTGGTTCGGGACCCCACCCAAAAAATCGATTCCGCCCATGTCCGCCCGAGACCTGATAACTTACACTCCAATCCACACCCTAAACCCTAAACCCTGAACTCTAAACCCCACATGCCTCTGCCCATGGGCTCGGGCGCCACGCTAGAGAGCGAGGAAAGAGTCGGCGCCTGTTCTACTACCGAAGGCTAGCTTCTGCAGGGTTCAGAGATCTAAAGTCGTAGAGCTCATAATGTCATTGTTACTACTATTATTATTACTACTGTTGTTACTATTACTACTATTGTTAAAGAATTAGACAACGGTTTTAGTGCACACTACGCTATAGCTATAATCATAATAAGGAGCTCGACCAGGAATAGTATTGGTAGTTGTTCAGGCTTCTATACTACGAGTCAGTGGTCTACGCAGCAATGCTTGACAGCATCAGCTACAGTAATAGCCGAAGTAGTACTTATTGTTGGGAAGCGGCAGTTTTGAATGCACATGGAAGGAATGCTGGCGGTGGCTTTCAAAGTGGTAAAGAGTAGTTGTGTCTTCATTGACAGTCTACGGCCTTCAGCTTTCCCGGATACCTGACAGATTGAATCTGCCTTGACGGGTCACCGCAATGAGAGTCGCGAAAGCCAGGGTGGCAGGTTGGAGTCACGCGGGTTCGTAGCCTACATGAAATCTCCCAAGTACGTGCTATACTACGTACTATACAGGATACAGTTACAGGATAGGAAGCTCTTCATCAGAAATTTCTGGCGTTTCCAGATGCAACAAAACCCAAAGATCAATTCCAAGCTTTTCACTTGTGACCCTTTCCAAGGCTGCAAGGGCATCCCAGCCGAGGCGATGATAAACATGGTCCCGCCTCAGGACATGCACGAAATCTCACCGTGTTTTGTAATCCAGGCCGCCTTATCTCCTTCGCATCAGCGAAGATGAGGTGGCGCACACACCTGACGAACTGCTCCCGTGAGTTCTTTTTAACACACCACCTTAAATCGAAGAGGTTCGTGTCACACGAATTAGTCAGAGAGTACTGCGCCTGCTCTCAGTCGGCAAATGGGGTACCTCACGTGTCCACGATGATTGAAGGTCGTTGCGGCCACCAGTCTAACGTATGGACTCCAATCAAGCAGAGCTTGACTAGGTTGCTCTTAAAGAACTTATATTAAGTTACCATGATGGAAATAAATTCTAAATAATGGGGTTTCCTTATTGTAGTCACTTAAGTTCCTTAACAGCAACCCAGTTTTGTCTGCAGATCTCCACCCGGCTCCTTCTCAAGGATGCAAGGCTGAGACGCCCATCGTGCTAGGGCTCCAGTTGTTAAAGCCGCCTCTGACAGTTCATCCTCGCAAACGTGTACACACCCTGCCAGTCTACAGCAAGTTATACATACATATGCATATACACGTACATATATATATATATATGCACATACATACATCAATACATCCTTACATCCAAACATCCATATATACGTTCATACATCCATACATCCATGAATACATACATACATACAGACTTGGACATACATATCCTGTTTGTAGGTCATTGTTTGTACAGTGTGTGTGTGTGTGCATGTATCTGTATATACACAGAGAGATAGGGCAAGCAAAAGACACAGTCTATAATATCAGTCGACTGGTGTGTCTTCTTGCTTCACTGCAAGGTTTAGGGTTAAGCCCACGAAGCCTAAGGCTTTCGATGCTCCCGCAGAGGCAACCATCTTCTCGTGGCAGTCTACAGCATCTGTGGGAATCTTGTCTGTCACCTTGTCAAGCTTTCCGCGAAACCTGCCTCACATAACGAAGGTGTGTATCAACAAAGCGAGCTGTGTCGTCCTCTGCAGCCATACAAACACACGGACACAGACGCAAGTCGCACAGGCCTGTGCAGCGAATGAGGGAAAGGCTTCATGTCTATGTGCCATTCTTTCGATGCTGAACAGGCAGGGAAACCCCTCAGTACATGGAAGAGCCGCCGCGGTGCAGCGTACTTGGGCACGTATACCATACATAAACCCATGCATACATGTAACTGCATACATGCATACAGACATACACACATACCTAAATAAATAAATACATACGGACATACATACCTAACCCAACTACATACCCACCTACCTACCTACCTACCTACCTACCTACCTACCTACCTACCTACCGACCGACCGACCGACCGACCGACCGACCGACCGACCGACCGACCGACCTATAGACCTACCTACCCATAGACCGACCTACCCTACCTACCTACCCACCTACCTACCTACCGACCGACCGACCGGCCTGCCTGCCTACCTACCTGCCTGCCTACCTACCTACCTACCTACCTACCTACCTACCTACCTACCTACCTACATACTTATTCATGCCTGCACGGCTTCGTTTGTACATGTATGTGTACGCATGCACCTAAATGCGGGGGGGGGGGGGTCAATCACTGTCTCAACTCCCAAAGTCAAGTGCTAACCCTTGTCCAAATCAGCAGAGCGCGTCAGAAGCGCCGGTTCAGGGCTTGGTGGCTTCACGTCTCCGGCCTACACACAGGCCCTAAACCCCCACAGGCCTGGGGGCAAGCCGAACCATGATCCGACCCAGCAGAATCAGCCGCAAGGGTCATTACACTCTAAAGCATGAGATTCAAGCATCCTTGCTTCCGTAGTCCGTTCTACATCTACTGAAATATCATCACACTCAGAGCAATAACCTAACAGTAGTAGCTTCTGAGGATCGGCCTCCTTTGAAGCTCTGGGAAGAAATGTCTCCACATGTAGGGTGTTTCAGGTCTTGCAGCAGGTGAGCTTCGAGCCCCAGAGTATCAGGGCATGTCGTGATGGCTGGTATCTTAAACAAGGAAAATCCGCACCCCCAAGCCCGCCAACCCGGACATCGGAATGGTACAAAACTCGTCACTTATGGATACGTCTGATATCCAGTCAGGCAAAGCAATTACAAAGGAAAACCTTGCATGAACTCTTATAGTAACAGCCATAAGGGGAAAACGGAAATGAAGGCAGACAGGGAGTCTTCATGCACGACTGCAAGCCAAACCGGCTGCGTGGCGCGGAAAAGGATGGGGCTGAGGGCTGAGGGTTCAAGTTTTAGGGTTTCAGGGTCGGAGAGTCTTCCCTCAACCTTAAACCCTAAACCCCTAAACCCCTAAACCCTGAACCTAGGCCCGAGAAGTTATCCAAACCCCTGTAAGGCCGAAAACCCTCCAAACAGTATGAGAAGCTTCGCTGCACCTGGCTCCGTTGAGACCCCTAGGTGCAAAACCCTAACCCCCCAGGTACCTGCTATGTAGGGCCCTAGGGGCTCTAGTACCAAGACTAGTAGGTATCTGGGGGGTGAGGGTTGACTTTGCGGAGAAAAGCGCAAGGTTTCCAATCAGCAAGATCAAATCTCCGAGCGAAGTTTGCGAAGCCTGACAAACGATTGATGCTCTCTTGAACGTGATGCATTGGCTGCGTTTGTATTGCCGTACGCGTTGTTGCTGTTCTGTAGGATCTACACGCTGGAAGAGCCAGTGACACACAAGTGGAGTAAGCATACTTGTCGGCGGGCGCTTGCGTACACGGTGCCAAGACTGCCAGTCGTCCTGAACATCAACTTTAGTTGTATCGTCCCTAAAGGTCCATGTGCTCACATAGTGTACAAAATGGCCCCAAAAGTAACAATTTAGGGAGTACTTTAAGGCCAATGGATATACTATTTGGGTACATCTGCTGTTCAGGTTTTCTCCTTGCGGTCTTGTGGTAGCATCGAAGGCAAGGCCGCTAGGCTTTGAGATCCAGGTTCCGACTTGGGACGAGGTTGCGTCGTTAGGTTCGTCGTTTTGGGGCCAGCTCTATGGGGTCATAGGGTTTAGTTTAGGGTTTAGGGTTTAGTTTAGGGTTTCTGGTATCTGATCCTTAAAAAAGCTGACGGGAGGAGTCAGAAGCAACTGCGACATAGTGGCTGCTCCTAAACATTCCCTCACATTTCCCATTGATTGCAAATCGCTTTCTGTATCAAACAACCATGAAGATTTGAACGCGAGGAACGGTGCCACAATACCGAGCCCAGATGAGACCAGCGTTCCACCTTCACAAAAACCCAGACTACTGAAACGACCAGACTCCTTTTCTGTTGCACTGCCAGGACGAGCAAAAGCCAGTGTAAGCTATCAACTACGAGAAGCAAGTGGACGGTCAAGAGCCAGGAATCGACGACTTTGCGGAGTGCACATTACATTAGTTCACGGAATGGTAACACTCATATTGCTCTTCCTACTGTGGCTGCACCAGCACCGGCACCTGCACCAGCAGCAGAAGCAGCAGCAGGAGCAGGTGCAGGAGCCGGAGGGGGAGTGACGTAGCAATCGTAGCTTCATGCGGTTGAGGGCTGAAGCAAGTCGCACCTGAGAAAAACACACACAGAATTGTGGTGATGCTCATGTTGCAGGTGGAGAAGAAAAAATGGACCTCAGGGTTCCGTTATTCTACTTATGTTCGAACCGGCATATGTTGGGAAAGACCCCTAGTCTCGTTTTTTCGAAACAGCATAAACTCAGGCAGCACTAAAAAAACAGAAAGAATAGCGACAATCGTACTGTCAGCAATGATAGCCCCGTATAGTACTGAATCTAGATACGGGTCATGGATATAAAACGCGGGCAGAAAACCAACAGCAGCGTTTGCAGTCAAAGCCTACATCATACTAAGTAACGGTGGTGTACGAAGTGAACATCATTATCATAAAAGTCGCGATCACTAGCAGCCACCAGCGATGCTCATCGCAGGAGCCATCGTGGCACAGTAAGCCTCAATGCCATGGCTGGAGGTAAGAAGCAGGCGTGAGTATCAGTTGTTTCATCTTCCGCAGCAGCAATATCCTCTGCTTCATCGTCATCATCATGAAAGGGGCATCAAGAAAAGCTTAACAACAAAATTTGCCCTCCACCTGCCGGACTGTGTGTGAAACATGCGCAATCTACGACGGATAGTCCCCGGCGCATTACCGCTACTTCTTCCGCATCGGCTTTCTCTTCACCGGATGGAAGGCGAAGTGGGCACCTGCAACAGTGAGCTCAGCTAAACATCAAGAACAGCAAGGACCAATACCAGAAAACTGAACGCCATACTGGGCCATGCTATGTTCGGAAACTTCGAAGTTCTGGTCTACAGTCATGGCTGTGGATCCCGCCAGTATGTCGTTGGGGAAGTACGGTACAGGCGTTTTGAACTTGTCCAGGAGCACATACTACAAGGGCCTTGATAATTAGAATAGGGTTTTGGGGCCCATGATACTATACTTATGATAAGGAGCTCCGAAAATGCTATTAGTAATTAAGGCCCTTACATTGGTGTTTCCTAAACCCTATGCAGCGAACAGTGAACCCTGGGTCATCTGCCATGAAGCGTGACAGAACCCTGCCGATCTAGAAGCATCACCCCAAGGGTCCAAGTAGTCCTTATAAGTGGGTTTTTGGTATCCAAACAAGCTTCGAAGCCCTTAAGCAACGAGTACTTGGACCCTTAGGGTCAATGAACCATGACAAAGCCCTCTTGGTACAGAGATTGTGTTCGCCCATGGTTTAGGCTTGATAACCCGGACCTTCACTTTCCCTTGAATGAATACGCGCCTTTGCCAGTATACGGCATCAGTATCGGTGTCATCTTCTTGTAGAGGCGAAATGCCAAGGTTCCAACCCGCTCCTGGTCCACTTCCGGCAATGAGACATGTTTTGGACAAGGCTGCTTTCTTCAAGCCTCTGGGATCTAGGCTTGACGATTTCTAGTGTCTGTCTATTGAACCGATGTGCGTTCACTCCCGTCTTTGATCTGGCTACTTGAAGTGCGCTCTCCATCATAGTTACCGTTACTGGGAGTACTGCTCTCGCTGCTATCGGTGCGTCCTACTACTACTACGACCTTGGTAAACAGATGTAGATCGACAGACGAATAGCAGGCCCTCGGAGGGACGGATGACAGACAGATCGATGGATAGATATAGTAAAGATTGATAAACAGAGGGGTAGGACATAGATACAGCACAGCTACGAATGAAGGTCAACAGAGCGATGAACATGCATGTGCCTGGACACATGCAGACACACACCTACTAACACGTATGTATGTATGTATGTATGTATGTATGTATGTATGTATGTACGTATGTATGTATGTCTGTCTGTATGTATGCATGCACGCATGCATGTGCATGCATGTATGTGTATGTATGTAACTATATACAGACTCAGTCTACATTGACACAAGTGTGAGTCCAACCTTCTTTCTATCTATCGATCTATCCTTATATCTATCCTTTTCCATCTACGGGTTGCCTGTCGCAACGTGTCTTCTCTAATCACGGCTAGCTCTTGTGGACATTTTGCTGAAAGATCTTATACATGTGCACTAGTATGTATACGCACGTACATCATGTGTTCGTGTCCGCAGCAGAAAATCCGCATGAAGTGCGGGACCATCTTAAGTATGGCGGCGCTCATCATGCATGCTGCTCTAGAACATACCTCGTACTGAGGCCCTCCAGGTGTGACCGACCCCAAACTGAGACATCCAACGCTTCGCGTTGTCCTTGTTTGGGCCGTGGACAACCACAAGGTCACCAGCTTTGCTGACGCTCACCTGCACGTGCCACATAGTTCAGGGTGTGCTAGGTTCAAGTGTTTGACGCTGGAAGCTGAGGGTCTACAGGGCTTAGCGGAAAGCAATGTGACCCACACCTAACATGATGGTCTTGAAATCAAGCACAATCTCTTCTGCGGAAGCCAAGGCATGCAATGAGCTTCCGCGCCATGCCGCTCTCAAAACAATTGAACAGCTTAGGGTCCGAATCATGACCCCGAAACCTTCACAGTACCTTAAACCCTCAAACCATGGCAGTGGCACCGTGATGTCTGGATCCCGTGTGACGTACTCTGTCAGGTCCCGCACTTTCGCACCTACGCCCAGTCGAACCTGCCACCGGAGGAAGCTTTAGGGCTTCACTTTTTTGTGTGCAGGCTCATGTAGGGGCCTTAATTAATTACTAATACCATTCTCGGGGCTCCTTATCATAAGTATAGTATCATGGGCCCCAAAACCCTAGTCCAACTGCATGATGAACCCTAAACCCTAAACCCTAAACCGTTAAACCCTAAACCCTAAACAATGTAGCTTCACCGATTGAGGCTCAGGGCCTGAGGGCCAGGGGGGTTTAAGGGATTTGGGGTGTAGGGTCTCGGGACTTCGAGTTCGAGATGGCTTTAATTATTATTACTATTATTATTATTATTACTACTATTATTTTAATACTATTATTATTAATACTATTGTTATTCTTATTGTTAATACTATTATTATTTTAGTGTTAGAGATTGAGGACTTAAACTGCTTGAGGGTGCCGGGCTTCAGGATCAACTCAGAGCTCGACGGCTACATGGGCAGTTCTCTAAATCAGGGTCCCTTTTACCCTAAGACTCCACATAGCCCAAAGTAGGTACCCTTTATAGACTTTGGGCCCCAAAGTAGGTACTATTTGTAGACTTGGCGTCTTAGGGTTAGGGTGCCTTTTGAAGGGGTGCCGTAGGATCTTTGGGACCTCAAAAGGGACCTTAATTTAGAGAGCTACCCACATGCTTCCCATGCTAAGCCTCTACTTCGGAGGAACTTTTTGGCTTCAGCAGCTGCACAGGTCCGGACACAAAGTTTCAGGTTACATGGCGGGGCCTTGGTGCTTTCAATTTTGGGGGATGATTACCTAGACTCAGTTCCTTTTGATGCTCAAGGATGACATCCAGAAATTAAGGGGCGAGGCATTTGCGCAGGCACGGCAAGTCGAGAAAAAAAGGACGGCAAGAATTCCATAAATCTGGCAACTTCCCTTCTCCGGCCGGCTCTGAGAGGTGCGGCCAAGTGCCCATGCTCTTGAGAACGAGCCTTGAGTACCTTGATAGTAGCTCTTCTAGCGATGCCTTATAGAAACCCTTATCGTGCTGCTCAAAACCGCCAAGGCTCAGAAAGGCTCCCTTCGGACCGAACAAAACGGCTTTTTGAAAATTATTCTATAGTTGAATCGAAAGGAGGAGGTCTCACGACCACGTGGTCGTACTACTTCTCCCACTTTTCTATTAGGCTCCCCTCATTAAGAGTGTTTGGAAGGTTTCATGTCTGCTGGCCACACTTTGTTGATCGGTGGGGTCCGCAGCATCCGGCATCGTTCGTCACAATAATCATAGTCCTAGTCCCAATAATGAGCATAACCATGTTCATAGTCGTAATCATCATCTTCGTCGTCATTAATTATCACCACCATCATCGCCATCATCCTCATCATCCTCATCCTCCTCATCATCATCCTCGTCGTCATCATAATGACATAATGAGCACCATCATGTACGTCATCCTCGGTGTCGGCGTCGTGTCCTGGTCATCCTCGGACTGCCCCCCCCTCTTCCTCCACCACCTCCTCCGCATCCTACTCCTGATCTCATCCTCCACAGCCATCTTCATCATCGTCGTGGGAGCACTAATAACAAGCATAGTCCTGGTTGTAACAGTTTACGGCGATTGAACATGATTTGGCAGTAGTCAGCTTCAGCTGTATGATGAATCAGCCCGGCCTTCAGGAAGGGATACTTCGGCTCGAAATAAGCCTTGACTCCTGTCAAGAGAAGGGTTCGAGGGTGTCAGCAAGGTTCGGGCAACAAGCGAAGATGGAAACTTCTCAGCAAAGAGACATCGTGCAGAAGAGCGAGCCAGATGTCCGGACAGCCGAAACATTATGACTTCTGCACATGCCTTCCGCAGGCAAAAACGACCATTTCTTGCAGTTCAGGATGCGAGCCTGGGCGCCCCCTCACCCCGAACCCTTCAGCGTGATGAAATCCTACCGCTCAGCCCGATCAGCCCAGAATGAAGAGACCCTACCCTAAGGGTCCAAGTACTTAATAGCTGAGTAATCATGTACTCTCCCACATATTAAGCTAGGTTTCTACTATCCGTAACCAAAGTACCCGATTATTGGGTCCTTTGGACCCTTGGGGCTACTATAGGGGCCTTAACAATTGGAATAAGGTTTGGGGTATAATATAATACTATAACTATAATAAGGAACCCCTGAAATAGTATTGGTAACTATTTAGGCTCCTATATCCAACCCAGAACACTCAACTCAAAGCCCCAAACCCCGACCCCACCTCGACCCTCGAGAATCAGCTGCACGGCAAAGCCACGTGTTCTCTCCTGCAGGGCAGCCGGTCATGGAAGACTCGATTTCTCAAGCATTGTGATAGGCGTATCGCGGCGTCTCGAGCACTGCATGGTGTTCTAGTAAGGAGTTGAGCATTATGTTAAGCTTTTGTAAGCTTTCTGGAGATTTGCGGGTTTGATGAACTGCACGGTCCGTCGTAGCATCACTGCCATATGCAACTGGTGCAAGAGTGAGGCGCCTGGTAGGGAGCCCTCGCCAATTCACAACAACTTGGGGTGAACCTAAGGTCCGCCCCAGCCCACGAAAAGGATAGGGTTTAGGGTTTAGGGTTTAGGGTTTAGGGTTTAGGGATTAGGGTTTAGGGTTTAGGGTTTAGGCTTTCTTGGAGAGTCCGTTGAGTTAAGTACAGTAATGGTGCAGGTTACCAGGAGCCAGGCTTGGGTCTGAGAAAACCACAAGACGTGAATCAGCTTCAGCCATTACATGCCTAAACCCTATAAACCTGAACCCTACCTCTAGTCTCCGTTGTAGTTCCTTTTTTGGTTAAACCAAATTTTATACTTAGGATCCTATAAGGGAACCTCAAAAATTTAAAAAGGAACTACACTGGAGACTCCAGGTAGACCCTAAACCCTAAACCCCTAAACCCTAAACCCTGTATATTCAGCGCTCCTTCACGTAATTGTCAATCGTCCTGGCCTGGATGGCCCGGGCATCGGTGGCACCCACCAACACCTGATCATCTGCTAAGGTTGCAAGACAATACACACCATGTCTAGTAGCATAAGGGCCTAAATAATTAGAATAGGGTTTCGGGGCCCATCATACTGTAGTCATAATAAGGAACGCCCCCCCACACCAAAAAAAAAACAAAAAAAAAGTAGGTAATTATTAAGGCCCCTATATTATACGCTGAGTGGCTTGCCTCAAACGGTTCGGCTTCGTAGAGTGTGACCACGCATACCACTTAACTCACCCGCAGCCCGATGCCAACAGCACGTCCGGGGCCAGTCTCTGGGGTTCAAGTTTGTTAAATTTAGGGTTTAGGGATTACCCTAAGGCTCATGGACCCCCATAGTGAAAGCCCAAACCTTAGCCCCCAAAGCCCAAACCTTCCCCTAGAAAGCCCATAACAGCAATAAGAGCCTTAGGGTAAGGTTTGGGGAACAAATCCCAAACCCTAAACCCTAAACCCTAAACCCTAAACCCTAAACCCGAACCGAGTAACAGAAGGGCGGGCAAGCTTGGGGTCTCAAGCAGTCTGGAGTGCTTGGAGCGCTCAGCAACAGCATGGACATAACGACAGCTTAGCAAGATTAGGAGCCCAAAGAATGCTAGTATAAAATGGGGGGTTTAGGGTTTAGGGTTTAGGGTTTAGGGTTTAGGGTTTAGGGCTTAGGGCTTAGGGTTTAGGGTTTAGGGTATACTATACTGTATCTCTCTTCTTCAACAACCAGGCCCAAAAAAGTTCAAACTTTTTAGGATAGACCAAATATATAAAGCCAAAAAGTTTAAAGTTCTCCCATTGGCTATCTAGGGTATTATACTATACCATACCATATACTATACAATACTATGCTACTTCCAGTTTCCAGCCCTTTCTGCAGTTGAGCGGCGGTGTCGCCGGCTGCGGGGCAACGAAGGTGGTAATACCTCGGCTGAGTCTCCACACCCAAATGATCCAAAGTACCTAATGACCCTAGACCCTAAACCCTAAATCCAGGGTTTCGGTTTAGGGTTTAGGGCTTAGGGTTTAGCATGATTTGGGAAAGTATCCCCCCGCACCATAAACCCTAAACCCTGAACCCTACCTGGGACCTTTGAGACAGAGCGCTTTCTCAGTGTTTCGCTTCAGGAAGCTGCCAGCCCAAACAAACTCAGGCTCTCGAGTGCCGGACTTCGGATTATACTTCCTGTGCTTGCCGAGAAGATATATATATATATATATAGGTATGCAAACATGTCGAATAGTATGTGTGTATGTATGTACGTATGTATGTATGTATGTATGTATGTATGTATGTATGTACGTATGTGCGTATGTATGTATATGTACATATATATATATAATATGTATAGGCTTTACTGCCCCCCTTGGGAGCAAGCGGAGAAACTGCCATTGGGGGGATGTCCTTGCGAGGCTACGCTGCATCATTGGATCAATCAGAAGGGACAACCGACTCCTGGCAAGATGCCACAAAACCTATATGATCCTATATGTGTGTGAGGATGTTTCGCAAGGTAGTCGCAAGCACTCCCGTGTGAAGGATGGACAAGGTTGATCTTGTAGCTTCATCCAGACAAACAAAACGTGTTGCGCAGTGGTCGCTTCGCACATGTACATGCTACCTCTATAAGGACGGCTGAGGGAGCTGCGTCAGCGGGCTGCGCTGATCCTCACGGTAGAAATACTCGGCCCCCAAGCCACTGGCAATGCCAGGATACCTCAGTGCGTTAAAGCAGCCGGTGCTGAACTCATGTCGTCACTGTTCCGATTTCACTTCCTGGCCGGGTGCTTGCGAACGTGCAACCTGTACGGCTTGGGGTCGAATGGCTCCTGCCACAGCCGGAAGGCATCAAAGCACCCTGGGAGCAACAGCCCCTTTGTTTACATCTTCATGAGTCCTATGACGAAACCATGTTAGGGAATGCTGCAGCCCGTTGTGCTTCCTGTGTTAAACTAAAATTGCACTCTTGCAGACTTCTGTTTCATAATGACGGTGTCCTTCGGCAACTCGACGTCAAACGCGTTGAATTCAGTCGGCTTGCGCCCCATGGCCCACTCGACTCCGAAGTATCCTGCAGTGACATGGCAAATCATCCGATTTGGTACCTGCAACGTCTTGTACCCCAAAGTTTGATCGGAGGGTACACAACTATAACTATGTAAACATGCCAGCATGCCTTGCCACATAGACTGAGACCCAGTGGAGTACACGATCGCGAACAGCACCCTCGTAACTATCTGATGTGTTCCTGTCTCTTTCTTCTTGACGGAGGGCAGATCGCTGATTTTCTTCCTCAGTGGACCGTTGCGGCTTAGGATCGGCAACTCCGAGTCGTCACATGTCGTGCAAGAGACACATCTAGTTACAAGTGTGCTTGTCTCCGCTGCTCCCAAACCTCTGCTATCCATTCGTTCCTAAACTCATCTTGCCATACCGCACGAATATGTCTACATCCGGAAGCACGGAAAAGACTGAGATCCAACCCTGCAGTTATTCTCGTTCTTGCTGCCGCAGGTCAAAGTGGCAAAGCCTCGAGATCCGCAGGAAGTGCCTGGCCAGGATTCCGGCTCTCACTGGGTGGCGGGTCAAAAGATTTGAAATTTGGATCAACGAATTCAGCCACAAGGGTCCCACAATAAAATCAGGATCAAAAACTTAATGCAATACCTATGCAATGACGCAAGTGAAAAACATCAGGGTGACGGATCAAAAAACTGGATCACTCTTGGTAGTGGAAGTAGTGATAGTATTAGTAGTAGTAGTAGTAGTAGTAGTAGTAGTAGTAGTACTAGTAGTAGTAGTAGTAGTAGCAGCAGTAGTAGTAGTAGTAGTAGTCGTCGTCGTCGTGGTGGTGCTAGTATTCCTGAAACACGCCGGTAGTACGATGTGTCTATATATGTATGTATGGATGTATGTCTGCATGTATGTATGTATATACCTATGTGTATATATCTATACGTGCTTTTATGTACATGCTTATATCCATCTATCTATCTCTCTAAGTCCCCAAAAATCTATCTATCGTTCCATCCATGTGGTCATGAATGACTTGCATAAGTTTCCCAGACAATCTTCCAGAGGGTGTCATCGTTATCGGTGGAAGTGTTATTGTAGCGTTCTCACGAAGCAGTGTCTGATCCGGATAGCACCTTATCGCGCACTCTCTTTGTACATACTCTTACATCACGAGCCCAACCGGGATGTCTGAAAGATGGTCTGGTTTGGTTGGGTTTGGCTGAGCTCGGCTTGCTTGGGCTTGGCTTGGGCTGGGCTTGGCTTGAGCAAACAGCAAAGCACACCCTCGTTTATAGCTTGTGCAGGAGCGACGGTACGGAGCGGAAAAGGGCAGCTTTTAAGATGGTTTGGTTTGGCTGGGCTTGGCTTTTGGCTTGAATGGGGGTGGGCACCAATGAAGGACCTGCACAATATGCTGCCGATAAAATTTCCAGCATGCATCATTGTCGCGTGCCATGGCTCATTGCTGTTCTGGTCGCACTGTGGCTTGGTTTGGCTTGGCTTGGGGGATTGGGGGGCAGGGAGCGGCTTGCCCCCTCCCCCCAATGACTTGCATAAGCTGTCTAGACTCTAGACATTCTTCCAGCAAGCATCGGCAAGCGGGCTGACGACGGCGGCAGCAGCAAGGATCGCGCTCGGAACGGAGTGTAGTTCGCTGTTGCGTGGAGGGTACATTTAGTCACATCGGTTGCCTAGAGTCCGCCTCAGGCAATTATGCACTATACAGATATAACTACCATGCATAAACTGTTTACATATACATATCAACATACACATATATACACGGAAGAATACACATATACTGAATGCACACTATATGCTCGTACTAGTTCTGCTTGCTTCCTATGTGTTTCTCTTCTGCCTGTCTTCCTTCTTCCTGTCTTCCTTCCTTCCTTCCCTCCTTCCTTCCTTCCTTCCTTCCTTCCTTGTCTCCTTCCTTCCTTCCATTCCTCCCCTGCGTCCTTTCTTCCTTCCTTGTTTGCTTCCTTGTTCCTTTCCTTCCTTTCTTTCTTCCCTGCTCTCCGTCCTTCCTTCCTTCCTTCCTTCCTTCCTTCCTTCCTTCCTTCCTTCCTTCCCTGCTTCCTCCTTCCTTCCTTCCTTCCTTCCATGCTTCCTCCTTCCTCCTCCTTCCTTCCTTCCTTCCTTCCTTCCTTCCTTCCTTCCTTTCTTCCTATCTTCCTGCTAGTTTGATTTTTGTTGATCCTAGTTTAATTTGTTCTTGATCCCTATCCCCCAGTTGGGCAGGCTGCCGGTTGTCTCAGGTCATCCAGCATCTGCCGCCGGCAGGAAGGGTGCGGTGGGAGGGCCAATAGCCCATGGACCTGGGAACCAAAGCGGATGTGAAAGCCTACAGCAACATATTGCATCAAGGTCCCATCGGTTGCGACCGACGCCTGCAAGATCACCTTCTTCTTCTACAACTCACGCGGTTCCAACGGCTACAACTTGATCTTGCGTGGGCAGAGGCAAGGAGCGATTCGAAGATAGGCAGCTACAGCGTAGACCAGGTGCGTTTGACCTCAGGCTGCTGAAGCTAGCATGCGTAGTGGTGCTGAAAGTTGCGAATTCAAGAGCATCATACCCTGAGCTCACCTGCTGTGGTAAAGTGGGCTCTAGCTGGGGACGGGACCCTTCTTGACATCCTGGAAGATCTCCTTTCAAGATGCATCACTGAAGATACCACCTGGCCTCTGAACTTGATTATATGTTGTACATGGGCCTGCCCGAAGGTTAAGGACGGAGCCCGTGACCCCAACCACTGGCTGTGGGTTGGCGTGGTTTGGGTCTCCTCACACCCCCGTCCCCTGGCAGCTTTTTCCAATGGAGGAACTCAAGGACCATGAGCAGTACGTCCAAAAACCCCAAACCAACCCTCCAAACAGCCCCTCGAGGAAGCCACTGCGGCGCAACGGCGGCAAGCAAGACAAGAGCGAGCTTTTGGATTTTCGGCTCTTCGGGTTGTGGACAGTGCAAAAATTTGGGAGTTCGACCTTTCGGGAGGGCCGTTTGTTGACATTCACACTCGCACAAAAGCCCCACAGCCACGCTGTCAAGCCAGGCTGAATACAATGCACAGCCGCAATCACCAACCGATATCCAAACGTTTTGGGTTCAGGAGCTGGAAACTGCAGCTACACCCAAGGCCCTGCTCCGTGCTTGAGACCTCACATGACTCTGCGGCCTGCGCAACACTCCGCCTGCTCGGACCCTAAACCCCCTGAATTCCGCCCTGCTACGAACGGTCGGAACCCACACTGAGAGCTTGCGCAAGTGCTGCAGTCCGTGTTCACTCGAGAAGGTGCGACGTGTTTCCCTATTGACACCTGGGTTTGGCGGCTTGAGCTCACTGACTTCCCCCCCTTTTTTGTTGCCGCTGCCGAATGACTGTCTTCATCGCAAACCCACCACCACCACTACCACCACCACCACGTCCCAATGACACGAGGAACCCACTCCCACTCAGATGGGCCGCACAGCCATGCCAAGAAACTTCAAGCCGCTTACCACAAGAAAGTCTTCACGTCTGACGATGCGGGAAGAGGGATGGGAAGAGGGTCGTGGACCGATGGCGGATGGCAGGTTACCCCAAATCATTGCAATCTCTCCTCATCCCAAGCCAGGCTGTCCGGACGGAGCACGAACAGACCCGTTTGATCATCGTCCAGCAGCTCCTCTCGGGCTCAACAGCTGGAAAGCTGTCTGACTCACACGACTGAAAGGTTGCGGTGCAGTCTCCAAGGCAAGATCGCATGGCCTCTTCCCGCTGCATAGCGATCATGAGAGATTCTCTCCCTGCAGATTTCTCGTAGAGGTTGTCATCGTCCTGTTGCCTTATCTTGGCATGCCGCGACTGGTGTTGCGGGTCTCTTCAGGTCAAGTCCTAACTCTGCTCTCCAGCTTTGCAAAGGCTGCTAAGTTGGACTGCCTTATCATAGACTGCAGTGCAGACAGGGAACTTGACAAAAGAGCTGGTTGTTTTCTGACACCATTTTCGCGACTGCCGCAAGAAAACGTGCATCTTATCTCGCACAACTGCCACGATGGCTGCGGCTGAGTGTGGATTGAACTGAGACTGAGCCAAATACTGCATAATGAAACACCAGTAGGATGCACTTAGATGTTGAGTCCATGTGACTGGCTCCCGCGCAGCATCCATCGGTCCTATTCGTCCTATTCCTAGACATAGACACATGATGCATTCTGAAGACCCTTCGGGCCCAGAATTGTCCAGAGAACGAGAACCAAAATGTATCAAAATCAAAGTGATACTGTGGACTTCATGTCGTCTGCCATTAACTGAATATGCGGCTGCCGGTCGAACCTTGGCTTAAGAGCTCGAACCTGAGCCATGGGGCTGCGCTCGCCCGCTCTTGGGCTTCGGCTACTGCGATGCCTGCTGGAGGCATGGACTTCTGCGTGGTCTGTTGGCCGGCAGATCCAAAGATACCGCAAGGCCCCAGGCTCCAACGCATGAGACGAGGCTTCGAAGTTGTCCATGGAAGCGGCTGCTCGCCGTGCCACATGCCACTGTGAGCAGAAGCCAACAAGCCAGCAAGCCATAGCAATCAGTATGTTCAACGCATTCCATATGTTCGAAGTTGCGAGAACTAGGAGCAGCCAAAGACTCCATCCCGCAAGAAATTCTATGAAAACTGCACAGCGAGTAAAGTGAGCTCCCGCCACAGCCTCTACGCAAATGCGAAGCCTCTCTGCCTGCAAGCTGCCCACGGCATTTTCCGTCTCTTGGACATACACGGAGCCAGTAACATTTATGAGAATGTTCATGAGCACAGTGTTGCAGGCAAAGAAACACAAAGACACCGCCAGGTACCTGATCACGTTTGTATTGCTGTCATTGGCATTGACCAGCGTTGGCTCACCCACGATGAGTGTTTGCCATGTCTGGAAAGCAGCTGAAGCAAAGCCTGCAGGGGTCAGATCTGGCTGCCGTGATTGCGGTTTCTTGTCATCCACTTATTTGGAACTATGGGCTGCCCGCAACGTAAACTTAGCTGTGAGACCTTCTGCGTCTGTGTCGAACTCGATGCACACATACAAGAGAGTGGCAAACAGAGTAACGAACATCAGCATCGCCATCGCCGCGAATTCACGCCTGCCAACAGAGTTCAGGATTGGCAAGAGACTCTGGCCGACTCGAATGCCAAACGGTTGGAGCACACGACAGTTGTATACAACGGATACAACAACCGCAACTACGTTGACGGCCATGGATGACTTGTAATCATCTCGCGGGGTCTCATCCCACGCCAACCAGCCAGAAGCCACCAAATGTACGCCCATACCAGCATGGATGACACGCCGCAGCAAAGGGACCTTGCGTGCGTGAATTAGAAGCAGGATGTTCGACAGTTGGAAGCCCACAGTTCCTGCAAATACCGCCCAGCACGAGGCCATTACACCAGTCTCGGTCCTGAAGGGAGAAGACAGACAGACAGGCAGGCAGGCAGGCAGGCAGGCAGGCAGGCAGGCAGGCAGGGAGGGGAGGGAGGGGGAGGGAAGGCGGGAGAGAGATGGAGACGAGAGAGGGAGCGAGAGCGAGACACGGAGACAGAAGTACAGACAGCCACAGAGAGGGAGAGAGACAGAGAGAAGGCGCGAGAGGGAGAGCGAGAAAGAGGGAGCAGGAGCAAAGAAGGGATTAGACGAATTTGGGTCAGAATGAGAGAGCCGGAGTGGAAGGAAGCGGCTGCATCGCCAGGGTTGCAAATGCGCAGTCGCACTTTGCAATTGTTGTTAAGCCTGTTAAGGAAACTAAGGCGGCGCCGACCTAACTCTTCGACTGCCTGCAGAGCAACCAACTCAGTTTCCATCGCGCCTTTGCCACCAAATCAGCAAACAACAGAATTGAATCACCGACGTTGCTGCCTGCATGTAGTGTGTCTTTCGCATGCCAGCGCTCCACATGTGTTCCACCAGAGCTTGGAAGACAATGCTCCCCGTGAGCAGCTTCACAAGCGTTTCCCATCCCAATGTCTGAAGCGACAGTAGAACACGCTCATCAACAAGGCCTGGAATGCCGACTAGTTGTATGTCGCAGAACTCCACTTGCCGCATAGTTGGAAGAAGCCCACAATACCGTTCTCCAGCTTGGCGTGCAGGCGGCGCCAGTGCGTTTTGAAACTTAGTGCCGTTTGGTGCCCATTTGGTCTCTGCAAGGTAAGCCGTGTGCAGCTCATGTGCCTGGAAAAGGCATCTTGTTCTCAACGGATGTCGGCCCGGTTCCTGGACATGCGGGCTCTGCAGGCAGATCTTGTCGAGCAGTTCGGCCGCAGCCGTCGGTAGGCGCTGGATTAAGTCGCACAATAATGCCATGAAAGACCTGTGCAAGTCCAAATCGCCACTGACAGCTGACAACGCAGAGCGAAACAGCCGCTTGGAAGTGATGTCACCAGATATTTCTTGAAACACCCAGTCGATCCAGACGCCACAGGTGCCCTGGAGTTCATCACACCTGTGTACAATTGCCTGGGGGTGGCTATAGGCTACGTGGCTTGCCAATAACCGGGTCACTTCAGCGTGACAGGCAGCAAAGGTAGGCGACAGCTCCTCTTGAAAGTCAGCTTTACACTCGAGCAAGAGGTGCACATGTTCTGAATCCAAGGCAGTGGACGCCAACGACAGAAGCTGCAAGTGCCTCGCTTGCCCTGTCAACGGCGGAGCATCTGGATGCCAGGCTCGTACATTCACATCGGCCTCGCCGAAGCTCAGCAGTAGCCGGATCATGCCATAGTCGCTCCCCCAAACCGCGCTCCACAGTGCATGGCCACCATGAGGGAAATAGTTTAGCGTGATCTCCTTCGCTACCGTTTCGCCATTCGCCAACCAAAACGACTACACCTGCCGACCTACCTAACGACCTAACACACGAAAGAAAATACATCGCATCAGCTCAAACAGCAAAGTCTCCCAATTGACATCTGCCCCGTGACGTAGCAGAGCTTCAGCCAGGTTGTGGGCTTGCCGATTCCCCGCGAGGCACAGGAGAGGGAACCTTCCAATTGCCTTCTGCTTGCCAGTTGGGAAGAGGACATACTCGGCATTCGGATCTGCAGAGCTTGCTATCAAAGAATGCACCAAGTCTGCGGCGAACTCTTTCTTGTTCATCTGATCCACGACGAACATCAGAAGCGGACCCGACAAACTGCGATGCCTCCCGCCAGACTTGTACAGCACCGGCGTGTGCAGTGCTAGTTTTACTAAAGGCATGCCGCGCTGTCGTAGCTCCCAGAGAGCAAGCTCCAGCGTTTGCATGCCCTGAGAGGCTGCTTTCCACACCACTGCCGCCACTCTCAAGAACAGGTCGGGACATAATTGCTTGTCTGAGTCGACATACATGTCTTGCTTTGACAATGGTGGAAAGTGCTCCTCGAAGTTCAAGGGGCCAACCGGCCAGAAAGGCAGGGTCGTCAGCACATCCAGCATTGTACCTTCCAGGAACTTTGCCGCGATCTTCACGGCACAATTCAGGATTAGCTCTGATAGCAGCTGGCCCAAAGCCTCTGGCCCGTATAGCCTCCAAACCGATTCTTCAGCGTCTCTGATCGACTGGCGCTTGGGGCTCGGCCCTTCGGACGCGAAGTTCCAGACGGAGGACGACGCCGGCGAGTCGACAGGAGTCTCCTCCTTCTCTCGCCTCCTTATGTAACCAGAGAGCCCGGACAACAACCTCTGCTCCCAGTGTCGGCGAGCTGACCACACGTCTTCAGCCCAGTCCGACACGGTTGTGCTGGTGCTTATTCCCAGGTTGATGAAAGAACCGGCTTCTTGGATCCTGCAGTCCACATTGATGGACCTCACGACAGGCCACTGGCTGCCGGAGTCCAATTGCATGCTGAAGCGGACGCCCTGATGAGGCATCTCGTCGTAGGATTCCGAAGGGCTGTCAACATAAGGGTCCGTAGCCTGAAACTGGACGGCCACTCGACCCTCAATCAGGCCAAAGTTCTGCAGATTACCTTGTACACGCTCTGCCAGGTAGCTTTCCAAGGATGTATCCTCAAGCCAGGATGGCAGCCCTGTAACACCTACTATCGTTACGGATTCTTCGGGGTCGACGGACGAACCCGGAGCCGTAGCCTGGTCTTTGCCAGGTCTTATGCCATCGGAGAGCGTCCATGACAGGCCAAGTGGGGCCACTGCCATGTTGGCTGTCTAGCAAAACGAGCATAAAGAGCTGCACTGTTTCTGCAGCCCTTCCCTCTCAGACCGACTTGGGTGACTTGGGCCGAAAGGAATTGACAACAGTGGGCTTGAAGGCCGACGCTAGAGGAGGGGCAACTACACTTGCAAAGCGACAGAATGAAGCTCAAGTCCAAACCCATGTGTTGTCACCAAGATCCACCAAGGGGCATGTCTACCTCCAAGGCCTCGTCTCGGTGGAGCTCCTGCCACAAAGATGCTGCAAAGATGCCGGTGAAGAGGATGACGACTCGATGCAGGAAGAAGCAGGCTGTAGCCGAAGCAACGACGGAGGCGGAGATGTTCATACTACCAACATCCCGCTTGTCTAAAGCTTCAGACTAGCTAGAGCTGAAATGCTGCCCGTCTGCATGGCAGGAGGGGTTCCCATTCATTTAACCATGTAATGTAGTTTGCATCTTGCCATTGGTTGGGCCCAAGCTAGTGCAAAGCCTCGCTTCTGAAAGAGAAAACCCACTTCTCAGAACCAAACCGTATCTCTTCGCAGGTGCTTGTGGCACGGTTTTGGTCTTGGCAAATACCGCGGTGATGGCCCTTTGCGGGTGCTTGAAGTAAGGTTTTTGTCTTGTCAAATGCCGTGGTGATGGCTCTTCGCGGGTGCTTGTGGTAAGGTTTGTCTTGGTAAATGCCACGGTGATGGCTCTTCGCAAGTGCTTGTCGTAGCCTTACTTGGCAAATGCCACGTTGATGGCGGGTGCTTGTGGGAAAGTTGTTGTCTTTCAAAATGCAGTGGTGATAGTTGTTTGCGGCTTGTGGCAAAGTTTTTGTCTTGGCAAATTTTGCGGTGATGGCTATTCGCCTGCTATTCGCGGGTGCTTGTAGCAAGGTTTTTGTCTCCGTTTTTGTCTTGGCAAATGCCGCGTCCGGCCATGGCTCAGTGCACACAACAGGTCCTCCCCCATCTTCTCGAGCATCGCGGCCTGTGGCCGATGCAAGAAGGATCGGCACGCATACACGCGTGGCCGCGTGGCTACAGGACAACGCCATGGCTCTTCAAGGCGACCATGCCTACGATTGAAAAGCCCACTCCTAGTACTGAGGGCGACTCTTTTCAAACGCCCCGTCACTAAAAAAACTGAGCTGGGTGCAAAGTTTTTCGGGTCTCGGGCCGGCCTTCTTCGCCTCGGCCTCGATCAGAATCGCTCCAGGCTTGTCCCCAGCCTTGGGACGGCTAGGCCACGGCTAGGCTATACAGGGTTGAGTGTTCGGCTGCGAAGCTCTCGACCGTTTAGATTCATGCAACCATGTAGTGAAGCTTCTGGAAGCCTCTAGCCAGTATGCGTCTCATCTCAACGTATCTCAACGCCTTCAGATACTGGTCGATGTAATACTCCTCCCGCTCCTTTGCGGCAAGGTCGAGCAGGAAGTCCTCACGGCATCTGGGCACAGGATGGCAGAGGAACCTGAGGGCTTCGAGCTCGCACTCGGAAGGTTTGAAAGGTTTCGAAGTTCGATGTTTTCTTGGCTTGACTGCCACAGTGCATAGCCAGTGGTTCTCCGCCCAGCAGGGGGTCTCTGGGATGTGCAGAAGCTGGTCGGCAAGCTCTTGTCTGTGAGGCCCTGGGCCAAAACCTGTCGCTTGACCCGAAGCCCTGACTTATCTGGCATTGTGGTCAAGTGTCGCCTCAACTGACCTAATACATTGGCGGGGAGATTTTTACCTCTCCATCTCTGCCCACCTACACGGAGAAGCAATGCAAAGTATGGCTAGCTTGCGAGCACACTTGCAACATGTCTGGGTCTCTTGAAGCGGCATCCCCGAGTCTTCAACATAAGCGATCACATCACAGGGCCCACTCCTGCAATCGAGCGGGGCCCCCAGCACTGACAAACTGTTGCGCCTCCGTGCAGGCGGAGGCGGCGGGGCTCTTGAAGCGACAGGCAACATCTCTTTTAATCTGCCAAGCCAGGTTCTATCGATTCGAACTGCGACTCTCCACAACCGAGAGCTAATGCTACTCTGGCATGCAGCCACCGCAGTTGCAGTCTTGATCTAGTCTCTCCGCCACAACAGCACCGGAGCCTGTGCAATCCGGTCTTCGAACTCCTGCAGAGACTTCCAATCCGCGTAAGGATGACGAGCGGTGTGGGCAAGCTGATGTAAGGTTTGATGCAACTGCCGAACAGTATCTGAAGAGCTACTGAAAGTAGAAAGACTGAGGCTAAGGTGCCTCTGACGCATGCTGTGACATCTCCGGGTGCATGGCTCATCATAGCTCCTGGTTGTCCAAGAACCTCTGCGCCTTTTGGACGGCCTGCACATCCCACATCTTCGCCTTGGGGAGCTCAGGAAGCGGATTAATTAGCTGTAGTTCTTGCCACGAAGCGCGAAATTGCACAACAGGCTGGTAGGTTGCGAAGCATCATCATCCACCGACAGCGTGCCCCGAGATCTTTCGTCAGCTGGCCTCCGCCGCTGCCACCTCCTTCAATGTGCGCATCCTGCGGCGGCGGCTCCGCTCCTGTCGTGCGAAAAAGCACGCCCCAGGCAGGCCGCGGCGGCATTCTGCGACCAACGAGGTATGAACGAATAAGAAAGACAGGTGCTGACACTTTCAGCTCCAGGCAACGAGCAAAACACACATACATACACACACACACACACACATCTCAATACCAAAACCAAATGCCGGGCCTCATAGGAGGAGCGCCCTGTCAGCCAAGGCTACTGTGCGGCCAATCTTGCAAAAAAAACTCGTGAGTGACGGTAACAGCCTGAATCTCTGCGCGCTGCTAGTCAGCGGTGCTCTGGCAGGCTATTGTGACGAAAGACCTAAGACACCTTGGTTTCCTGAAGCGGCGGCCTTCTATGATATCGGCCATCTGGGCAAGGATTCGGATCGTCACCTGGCCGAGATGCAATAAAGATCCAGATCAGGAGTTGCCTGCGCTCTCGGCACCTTCTTCCCACGAACGAGCACTTTCCCTCCCTGGAAGCACCTCAGTTTGGCCACACTGCGCTGTCCACAAAAGGCTGTGCTGGGTCACTTCTTTTCAATGCAACCGCCACCGCAGGATTCGTTCTGCAGCGCGAGACCAGCTCGTTAGCTTGCGCCTGTGCCTTGCAACCTTTCAAAATGGCCCTTTAAACTGACGAAGAAACTGTTGTACTGAATCCAGATCCGAAGCCGCGGCACTGCAGCAGGTTCTCCAGGGACCTTCCCAGCCAGGTCTGCTCGAGCCGCACATCAGCAGCCAGGGGGCTGTGGAGCTCCTGAGCCAGGAGCAAAGCCTTGTGTGGCAAACAGATGCAGGGTGCCGGCATCACGCCGCAATGAGGTGGTCCGGCGGCTTCTAAGCAAACCCTTTTGCACGGTATTCTGACCGGGAACCCTGCGCTTCGCATGCTGAGCAAGTTCTTTGGTCATTGAAGACCACCGTGTCACCGAAGCCGATTGAATCTTCTCTCAGTCCTCTTCGAACTTCATGATTCGAGGGAACATGGCATCGATAGTGGGATTCCTGGCGGGAGGGGGCACTTGCCCGCTTGCCTTCATGTCCTGCAGGCTCCTTGACTCGACAGCCTTCACCCTCTCACATACGGACAAAAGCTTCGTCCGAAGCTTCCCTCATCGCCTCAAGCAGCTTCGGAGGGATGAAATGGCACTGCAGCTGAAGTAGAAGTTGACCTCGAGGAACAGTTGTAGAACTGGGCGAGGCTAGCAAAACGCAGCATAGCGGTAGTCGCAGGTGTCTGAGCCCGCAGCGATGGCTGAGGAAAGCGCAAGCTTCTCCAACTCGTCTGACCTCGGAAGCCCCGCTGATATGCTGATTTCCTAAAGACGCCGGAGGTCCCAAAGTAGGAAACAACCCCGAACCCTCTCTCCGGTTAATTTCGCTCTGCTTCTGCTTGGGCGGCACAGCTCCGCAGCCCACGAGCTCCATCTGCATCCAACCTGTATGTTTCAGCCTGTGGGCCAAGGGTTGGAGCCACATCCACCCACCAATTCCGAGTCAGCTCCTGAAAGAAGTCCCAAGGTGGGCCATCTGGGCGCCGAGCTCGCGATCTGTCGAGCGCGCTGAGTTTGCCATCAGTATCTCCTGTTTCCCGATATGCTCGACACAAGCTGGGAAGTAATAGGTTCAGCGAGGCTTGGGCGTGCCGGAATTCAATGGAAGTGTGCAAAAATATATACATATACTGTATACCATTTGCTTCTCCTTGTCGCGAGGAAATGACCACCAAGGACCACTAGACACACGAAAAGAAACGCAGGGATTCCGCGGATTGCTCAGTAGCCCAGAAGATTTCAAGACAAGTAGACGAGATAGGCGGGCCGCAGATGGGCGGACAGATGCACGGAAAGAATGACAAGTGGGAGTCTGCATTGAGGGGACACGGCGAGTAAACCTGAGAATATTTTCTGCTTGCACTTTCCTACGAGTAAATTCAACTGCCTGGATACCTGGCCCAGCATGCGCCGCAATTACAAGTTTTTGCTCGGCCTCTTGAATATCCTGGAATCCTGGATCTGTCTTGTCTTCACGAAGCTGTTCGCTACAGTAGGTGGCCGGAGATGCGAGAAGCTCCCAAACTCAGACACGGCCTGGAAACCTACTTAAATTCAGATTCAGCGTCACTGCACTCGGCCACGGCTCGTTCGGCGAAGCCCTGTCGGAAGTCAAGGCCTTGTTCAGCGCGTGCTTAAAGGTGTCAGGTAGTTGCACTTGGGATATGACCAGAGAACAGCTTCGAAGCGGCTTGACTGGTGGTCCCCATGCTGCATGCTACCAGATTCCAGAGTCGCCCTACTTGAGCTGCTTGCTGCCATCTGCGCCCTCTGCCCATTGCTGCCCGGATACCGGTGTCGCCCGGAGCCAGCAGCAGTCGCTCAAGCTGACGCACCACCAATGCCAGCCTGAAGAAATTCACTCGCGGCGAACTGTAATTGGGAAAAAGAATCAAAACGCAAAGCCGCCCCAACCTGCCACGCTCTGTCGTTCTGGTGTTCTGAAGCTCGCGAGCGCGAGCTAGCTACATGCAAGTTCGAAGGCATGTGAAGGCGCTCCAATGCTGCAGACTCTGGTCACAACGGCGGCAGCTAAAGCCAACAGAAGTCTACCGTATTTACCGTATCAAGACTCAGGAACGTGCGGAAGGAATTGAACTAGCAAGCTGAACCGCATGCCCACATCGAAATCTGTATTGCTGCACAGGGCATGGGGGGGCTCTGGTCTCGACGATCGGAGACAGTCACTTTGAGCTCCAGTTGCACCGAGAACTGTGTTAGCATAAGTTGTAAGGGCAAGCTGCATTTCCTCAGTGCGCCCTTCTCCGATGTTCTTCACATCGGAGAGGCACTTGACGATAGCACCCATCTCATCGGGCTCGATCTGACCTCATGACCAAGCTCTATTACCATATAGACATGTAGATCTTGCCCGGGCCTACTGTTAGGAAAGAAGGTGCCTTCACCAAGGCCTTACACTAGTAGTGCTGCATGTATCGAAGAAGGTATCCGGTATCTGTGTTTTTATGTTACATGTGGAATTGAGTGCGGATTGGGGGGTCCTGTTCAGCTTGCAACAATATATCGCCAAGCCGCTGAGGGGCACCTTGCTCAAGCAGCGCATGACGATCAACTTCCTCTGTCGCGGCTTGAGCTTGGGCTTGGGGCTCTGAACCGGGGCCACGTCAGATATGTGGCCGTCTCTTGGGGGGGAAGCCGGGTCATGCACGTACACAAGCCTGCCCACAGGATGGCACTGTACGCATGATACAAGACAGGGTTGAGATTTGGCACACCTTCCCACGACTGCACATGTCAAATTGCAGATAATTGCAGCAATTGCATCGGCAACGCCGACACTGTATGTATATGTGTGTCTGGTACGCGGCAAGCCAATGGACAAACGGAGATCTGGTAGCACAGTGGATCATCTGAGACTTGTCTGGAGTCGCTGGTGCGATGATGCAAGCTGACAACAAAGGCTCAACTCTGAACTGTGCCCCCTCAGCCATGCGCACGTCCGCGGCAAAAAAGCTTAATTACAGGGTCATCTGTAGGGCCCGGAACCTTACAAATGAGATGTTGTCTATGCACTCGGGCGCAGGTCTTGCAGTGCTTTGGGAGATGGACCTCCAGCTTTGGAACGACATGAGCTGTCTTGCGCACCTCTCCCACACATGCCGTGCTCAATTCTTCCAGATTCACCAAGCTTCAAGTCATCGCAGGGGATCACCAGCAGCTTCAGCAGAATCGTCTCTCTCCTTTGCAAGTTTCCCATGGTGGTGCTCTCTCTCACTCCCAGACGCTCTACCTTCGGTATCATAGCATCTTAAGAAAGACAGCCGAAAAAGCGGACGAGGCCGAGACTCCCCTGCGTGTTCATCGCATCGTTCACCAGCTGCCGGGCCTGGTCGTCCTCGATGCTCTCCTTGCTTCGTTCGCAGCTTTCAAAGCATCTTCACAACTCCGGGCCACGGAAGCTAGAGTAAACAAAGGAAGCAGAGTCGACAGAGCTCGGTCGTCATTGCGTGCATGCTCGGCAGCATGGTCGCAAGCACAAGCCATCACATCACCGGGCGGCATCTTCTGCAGCGAAGAACTCCACCAGAGTCACAATGCCTTCGTCGAGCCGTTCTAGTTCACAGGTCTTTGCAAAGCTGCGAAGCTCCACTCCAACGACTAAGTAGGCTTGGGTACGGCTTCAAGCTGCAGTGGATCAAACTGTTGAAAGTGCCGCAGGCAGGCTCCAACGGAAAGCTCACATGATCTCATGAGATCCGGACCGATCATGGCATTGGTGACCCAGTCCTGTTTGGGCGGCGGAATAGAACGTGCACATACATGCATGCATGCATACATATAATGTATATTATATATATATATCTATCTATCTATCTATCTATCTATCTGTCTATAAGTCTATAAGTATGTAAAGTACGTGAGAGAGAGAGAGAGCGAGAGAGCTACAGAGACAGAAAAAAAGTCTCGGCCCACATTCGTGCATCTGTTCGGATATGTACACTCTCAGCATACTACGTCATATCCACATTGCACAGTCTATACAGACCTGGTAAGCAGGAGCACGTACCTCCATGTGCATGCTTGTGGGATGTTCTCAATCTACCAGCAACAAAGACGACAGCAAAAGCGCATCTCAACTCGCCAAGTGGCATTCTCGAGCTCTGCAAATGGGGGAGCATCACGTGACTGATCATCGGAGTACTTGAGGGCCATCCGGTAGAGATCGGGATACCTTCGGCTGATCTTTACGGTTTCGGGCTTCGGATTGTCGATAAGATCATCGCATGCAAAAGACACACTCGTTCAGCATCTCCGAACTGTAAGAAAACTCCTGAGTCTGAAGTGCGTCAGGCAGCTTCTTCCCCCCCAGAAACTGGAGGAGTGGTGTCACCTTCCGCAGATCCTCGACGACCCGGATGGCCTGGTGCTAGCTCTACGAGACACATACTTGAGCAAGCGCATGGTCAAAGGGTTCAAGCTGAAAGGGAGGCTAGCGAGTCTACGAAGACAGATTTCTGCCGCTGAGTTCATGGGCCAGCTGGGAGCACCAAGCCCCAAAGCCTGCTTCTTGTAGACCTTGGGATCTTCCAGCATCGTCCGCAGAGTCTTCGTCACCGCCTCCCCCGCAAGTCTTTGCTTAAGCAAAGGCCGAACGTGCAACATGGTAGTATGCCCGCATGGTTCCATTACAAGCCGCACTTGGCCTCCAAGATCAATGGGTCGACGAGGTGGGACCGTAGAAGCTGGCAGAGAACGTCTTGGAAGCAGATGGGATCGCAGCACCTCTGAAAGCAATGGACACACGAGGCTTCCTCGGACCCCAAAATGCAAACATGCCCCTCGTACAGTACTACATATGGGTTTTAAACAAGCGAAACTTCGAAGTCCCAGCACCGAGGCGCTCTTGCAGAGAAGCGTTGCTTCGTTGCATCATCGCGGAGACGAAGTGACAAATACAAGCGATCCTGGGTCAAGCGTTAGTCATGAGCTAAGCAAGGAATGTCTGACGACTTGCAAAAAGGCTCTGCATTTCGCCAAGGCTCGTCCTCGCTGGCAGAGGCTCGTCATTGTGCCGCCCTGCCAGAACCGGTGTAAGGCAGCCACAGTGCAGCTCTTCAGCGGGTATGTGAGCCACGAAACTCTGCGCAGCTAGACTTATAGACGATGCGAGTCGTTCTTGGAGTCTGATCCTTTTGTTTCCGCTTTCAGAGAGATGCCTTTCGTGGCCGTGAGCACCTGGCGGAGGCGAGCCACGACCTGAGCTCTGAGCTCTGTTTGCCCTCTGAGTCTGAAGGCTTCTGCTTTAAAGGCTCCAGAACCAACCCGGACTCTGCTACTTTGGATCTGATAAGACTCCGGCCTTGGAGTGGCTTGCAGCTTTGTAGAACATGTCCACGATCTCCTGGACAGGCAACTATTCGGACACTGCGGCTATGTTTGTCGGGGGTTCGACCCCAGCATCCTGCGAGCCATACATGATGATGTTCTGCGAGATCTGGAGCACGTCGATCCAGGTGCTTCTGAGCCGCACGTTATCCTCGGCCGAATGTGTTGCCAGATGAAAACTCCTAGCCACCTTTCGTTCTGTGGTACGATGCGCCGGCTGTGACTTTCGTACAGATGGCCAGGTCACGAACAAAGCTTTGTTCTCGAGGTGCATGATAGTTCTGACAGAACAGGGCTGGGATGACTCGGAGAAGCTCCGGAAACGTTTTCTGGCCTCGCCGCAAGTTCAGGTGTCGCAGCCCTCGTGGCGTACTCCTGCAACGGCTCCAGGCTCCCAGGCGAAGCTGACAACCAGCAAGCCAGCCTCTGGACCAGTGATGGAGGCCAGGAGCTTCACCTCAGGATTCCCGGCTAAAGGGTGGTCGTGTCCTGGCTGTTCCATTTTTGGCCCATGCTGACGTTATGATTGAATATGCTCGAGAGGTTCCGTGGCGAGTTTTCGCGGCCTTGAATTCCACCCCGCCCGCACCGAAAGCATGGCTGAGCCATCGGGCAATGTGAGCGCCGTCCTCGGTGAGGTATTCTTCCTGGCAAGCCATGACGAACATGCGACACGTCGTGCTGATAGAGTTTCGTCTTCCAAGATTGATACTGGAGGAAATGAAAGCCCGGTGGACTCTTGTCAAACCAAGAAAAGCAGTCGACGCAACGACGAGGACCAGGCTAACTGATGAAAGAGTAAGACCAAATGTCTTGAAACTTCCATGAGCCCATAATATGTATATATTATATTATATATATATATATAGGCCCCATATGGAACCCAACAGCCTGACAGCATCGGGATATCTTGGGATTCATTCCCCGAAAAGCCGCAGCCACAGCGTCCTGGAGGAACCAGTTCAACAGCAAAGGGAGCAACTCCTCGAGAATGTCGCAGACCTCCTCCCTGGCGATTGCTCGGAAATTGGCTGAAATTGGAAACGGATTGATGCTGCTGGATGAAAGGATTCGAAAAATCGAATGGCAAAAATCGCACATCATGGCTCATGAGTTGCTTACCACCAGCCTGATTTGCTTTTCCTGCACCAGATCGAGGAGACCGAGGAGCAGCGTCTTCGTGATCTCACTGTTGATGTCGGCCTGAACACAACACGACATACCAAAAGAGATCTATCAATTGAATCATTTGCAATGTTTTTTTGCCGGTCTTCAGATCTGTGTCGTGTTCAGCAGGGGAACCTCACCAAAAGCGAGCAGTGTGGGGACCACGATCGTCTTCACTCCGCGACCTGCTTCTTCACGGCCTCGAGTCCCAGTGGCTCAGCCCTCCCTGAACCTGGTGGCCATGGCTTCGCAAACCACAAGAATGGCAAGACGAGCGCCAAGAGGCAATGATCACTGCTCAGCATCATGCGTCGGAGCAGGTCCAAACACCGGTTGCCGAGATCATATGAGACGATGCACGACAAGAAGCCTCGCAGCTGGGCATTGAAGCTGTCCTATGCCCACAATTGGCCTGATGTAAACCGCATGGATCTTCAGTGGCTTCGGGGCCCCGTCTTTACTTTACATGCTTGCCCCTATTCTTTCACGGCCACTAAAGCGCACCGCCCCACTGCGACGTCACTTCGTTCGGGCAGCCTAAAGTGTCCACCAAGTTGTTCCGGGCCGTGTCGTGGCGCTCCATAACCTGAAGGGTCGATGGACGGATGGAGCAAAGCTTATAGCTGGAGGAGCTTGGCTCAGCTAGACATTGATCGAAGAAGGAAATGTAGCTGTCGAGCCTCCTAAGTCTACAGAGCGGTCACCAGAGCGCCCTGTGAGACAGGCGGATTGTGACCCGCACCCTCTGTACTGAGCACCCTGCTGCTGTGATCAGCTCAAGGATGTAGGATACTGTGATCTGCATCTCCTCGGGCAGCCCCACTACCAGCCCTCCAGGCATCTGCTTCCGAACCCAATCCGGTCCCACAGGGCACTTCACAGCACAGGCTGCTGAAACTCTGCTGAATATTTTGAGACATGAGAGTACAGCACCTTAGTAAGTAGGAGAGCTCTCGAGCGGGAAGATACTCGGGTCTCCTTGTCAGAGCTGCCATGGTCCATCATGCCATCCCAAAATACCTCCTCGACGTCGAAGCCCTGACGGCGCAAGGCTCTCCATACTCCACTCGTGTGTCCAAGACATTTCCACCGCATCTTCTTCCCAGACATGGCAGAAGCATGAACTTGAGCCTCAAGTACATTTCCGTACAGTCTACAAGTCGCACAGTTCAGCGAGATGGTCCAAAACCACTGCCTCCGCCGCCGCCCCGCTGCTTTGAGCCCTGAGGGCCGCATTCTCACGGACGATGCCGATGCGGGCAGCCAGGGCACTGGGCTCCTGACATCCACGCGGTGTCTCGGGCATTCTCCACATCCCCCACCCAACGGCCTCCAAGATCTCCTCCAAGGACTCCATGATCAGCTTCAGCTTGCCCACGCCTGCTCCCATTTTAAGCCTAAGAAAACAGGCAAGCTGCAACGTAAACCACACTGGTCTCATCGTTTGCATGCGGCATGGCACATCCCAGCTCAGAGCTGGACCCCATTCCAGCATTGCTCTGTTTCCGTGCCAACTCCTCCTTCCAGAAGTACATTCACGCACATGCAACAGAGTAGTCCTAGCGGCTGGCACTTTTTTCTGGAGTCATACTTTGAGCTTGTGTGTCCGTTTCATCGCAAGAGGCGCTGTCCTGTCGCTTCTTGAAGGCAACATCGTAGACATCCAGGGCCAAGAGGTTCGTACTCTCGATCTCATCCCGCATGTCCCTGAGAAAACCATGCTCTTACTGCCTCCAAGGACGGCTCCTTTTGTTCAAGCTTGTGTGCGACTACAGTGTAGCTGCTTCTCGTCATGGCCGGGAATCCGTATCCTACAAAGCGTCACAACTGCGTGTGCATGGATGTTGAGGCCACATGAAAAGTGTGGACAAGTTAGCTTCGAACAAGTCCGGCTTGAAAAAGAAGTATCTGCAGACGGAAGAAGTCCACTATACTGTCACTATACTTATGCAGAGAAGGGAAGCACCTCAGCAGACGAGGAGCAAAGAGAGTGATAAGGGAGGCTGCAATCCAAGACGCATTGTGATGATGCAGTCATCCAGCTTCTGCAGAGACTTCAGCTTGCTCACCACATAGATCTGGTATTCCTTGAAGCATGCCTCGGCACATGCCAGGCAGGCCCCTGTAGCACCAGGAAGGCTTGGGCTTTGCTTGCTTCTCTCCGAGAAGAGGCACCACAAACTTGTTATGGTAGAGCCGGAGGTTTTGCAGACTGCGGAGGTGGCTCATGGCGTTCAGCGCTTGCGAGAGCTGCGAGGGGGTCCAGTCCTGAGATCTTGGTCTGGTAGCTGCCATACATCTGAGTCACAGTCTTTTCGAAGGAGTCAAACCCGAACGGTGAGTCGAATGCTCCAATGGTAGGTGACCCAATCCCAAGCCTTGGATTCGGGCATCATGGCTCGACCCCTTCTATTGCAAGCCAATTTAAGCTTGTGGGTCGAACTCGTTGTACGCCAAATCCAGGCGCTTGATGCGCATGGAGGACTTCAGATTCTCAAGACTGCCGCTGAGCTGGTTGTGCGACCTGGCCACACTCAGGCAAAAACCCCTTTGATGGCGTAAGCCTTAGAAATGCGAAGCACCAAAAAAAGACTGCTTGACATCTCAACCGGGGAAGCCATCCGAAACCCGGAAACGGCACAATGCTGGGAAGCCCAAGGCACAAAATCAGCACCTCCAGGGAGGGAAGAAGACCCAGGCTCGGCCTGGGCTGACGTGAACTACCTCTGTACAGTTTCTTTTACTGATTTACCTCCGTATCCAACTCACTCGTTACCAACATTCCTGTGCATCGCATGCTGGCTGGGACAGATTGCTCGTCAAGGTGAATCCTACTTCTGCTACGACGCCCAGCTCGAAGCACGTTCAAGAGCATCGCGCAAGAGGGGAGCGCATGAAGTCTCATTCATCCTCAGAGTGCCCGTATCGACAAGGCCCTCCCCCAGCCCTCAAAAGAAAGCATTGCTGGAAATGTTGGGCAGCATGTTCTTGAGCAGGTTGTACGCCAGGTTCCTCAAACAAATCACAAAACTTGGTCGGGTGATCCAGTGAAGCTGATGCAAAGCATTGCGCTGCGGACAGCAGCACCACTACAAACAATAATGCAGAAAAGCTTGTTGCCTCGGGATTGGGAATTCCGTAAAACTACAGCTGTAGCATTGCAGCCCCGGCTCAGTTCGATCAAGTTCGGCAGGTTCAGTGAAATGCGAGACAACAGGTTCTTCCTTGCCTTGGTATGCCCACAAAACCGTCGTGATAACTTGAAAAGCCTTTGCAGTTTAATTGTCACCGATACGCCTCTATGCTTCAAACAAGCAGAGCAGCCATGATGGTGTGCAACGAATCGAAACCGTTGGCTTTGTTCAACACCGAGATGTCCATCAAGTGGTTGTTGGAAACCTAGGTTGCTTGGCTTGGTGTCTTCAGGTTCGCTTTCTCGTCCTGATGGCCTGATGGTAGCGTCTGGCTCGAGAACAGGCCACATCTGTGACAACAGCAGCTTTACAGGCGGCATCGGAAAGTTGATGGCCACGTTCGTGACAGACGCAAGAGTTTCTACTCAGGTTTTGCAGAGCATGAAGAAAAGCCCTGGGCTGCAACCGCTTTTGCCATCGATACTTGACAGAGACGTCGCTAAAACCATCTTGGGAGCATCCACCAGCTGGACCCGGTGCTTGCGCAGCTGGGGGTGAAGGAGACCTCCCGACGGGCCCTCCAGTGTGTCCAGCTGGTAACGATCACCTCTGAGACATCTCCATTGAGCTGCACTCTGGGGCCGGTGGCAGACACTCGCAGAAACGCTGGCAAACCAGTACAGCCAAGCATGGTTCTCAGACCGGGACTGCTGAAGTCGATCTTCGTGGGATGTTGCCTTGTGTCACGTCAAGTGGCAAGGCTCGCCCACAACTCACGAAGCACATATTGCAGCCACAGCGCTGTTTCCAGCCTGGCCCCAGCACGTTCGCAAAGTCCTCGTCTTTCAAGGACGTCACCTTGGTATCCAGCCCGCACATCGAATTTTTCAGACAGACGCGTGCGGGTACGACCTGGGACTTGGATTCAGGAAGCCTCCATCTTTTACCGCCTCTGACCACTCTGCCTCCTAACGGCAGCTTGGACACATGGATACTCCGCTCGAAGATCTCGTCCAGCTCCCGCTTCCACTGCAGGCTGGAGGGATTGAGCATGCAAGCAGACTTCCTTGAAAATCTATCGTCTGAACCTTTGCCTATCGAATTTCTCCCGCCCTGAAATTTCTAGCAGCTGCACAATTAGCTGCCAAGACGCTTGACAGCCTACTGGTGTGACTTTCCGGTTTCCCAACTCCTCGTCTATCCTTGTCTACTCTTCGCTCCTTGCGTCCATTCCCTCCTAAGTTTCGAGCATGCATGCAGTCCTTTGCTTTCTCGAGCTCTGCCAGCTGCTCTTTGGACGGCCTGCCCGGAAAAGTTGCTCTTGCATTTAGAAAGACCGACACCTTCTTCAGCAGCTGACGTGATACATTTGGAACCGCTGGCCTCTGTGCGGCAAGGCTAAGCCGCATGCTTCCCTGGGAGCAGACATACGTTTAGAACACCCTGGAGATTCCTGTCCAAGATGCCGACCCGTCGGCCGCGCACAGGGCTTTCCTCCATTGCGCATGAGGGCCATGCAGCTTCACCTATCCAAGCAAAGTTGTCTCTGTGTCGGCAATGCGGATGCCCACAAACTACATCAAATAGAAGCTTCCTCAAAACGTCAGGCAGCCTGAGGCACAAAGCATCTTGCCTCCGAGTACTCGGAAAGTGGCTGCGGCGCACCCCGCGCAGAACTTGAGCCCAGGACGCGTCAGGCATTTTTGGTGAGGTGCTGTAGATACTTGCCCTGCGCTTTAGGATAACATGTTGCCATGACCCCTGCACATTGCTCGCCACGACCTTAACAGTCTGGGTGCAAAAACAAGCTGCACTCTTACTGCTACTGCTACTAAGTTGCTACTAGTTACTATTGTGTTATAAGCCTCATGGGCCTCATCGGCACATCGCACCCCTGAGCAGCACCTGGTCTGCTCGCTTAGACCCGTCACATTCAACTGCGGGGTGCCATAGACCTGCACAAAACGAAGTTGATGCACACTTGCGGCAGCACATGATGCAAAGCTGACGATGCCAAGACCGAAGAGCCATTGATTAGGGATCAGGCGTTAAAATTTCAAGGCCTCGGACCACTCTCGTGATTAGAGGGCGAGCATCACCAGGACCACATGCTGCTACCACTACTTCGACCGCTGCTGCTATTGTTGCCGCTACCGCTACCGCTGCCGCTACTGCTGCTGGTATTGCTACTACTACTAGCCACCCCCCGCTTACGAACTACACCTCGTCATCGTCATGAACATCAGCATCATCGACATCATCCAAGAATCATGATGAATATCATCCAAAAATCATCATCAACATCATCCCAAATCATCCTCCAACACACTTGCTCTTAAACATGTTCAGGCAATATCCATTTTACTCGGTATCTACAGCACTTTCGTCACGTAGGATCATCTTGTGAAGCCTCAAAGTCGACTTGTCGAGCTTGCAAACTCGAGCTTCTGATTTTGGACTTGTTTTTTTTTGGGGGTGGGCGGGCGGGGGGGGTGGTGTGTGCATGAAACAGTGTCGTGATCATCCCCGCAAAAAGGTTTCCCCACCCAATTGCGAGTTTTCGCCGCAAGCCGTTCGAGACACCAAAGTTTAAGACGCACAGTCCAGAAGTAGGGATGGCAACTATATAAGACAGTACGACATCACGAAAGTACTGTAAATACCAAGTAAAACGGCTCTGTGTGGTGCTATTGTTGGTTGTGTTTGCGTAACACTGTCGTCATCATCCCCCCCACCCCCCCACCTCCCCCCCGGAAGCAAGTCCAAAATCAAGAGGCCGAGTTTGCAAACTCGTCAAGTCGATTCTGAGCTTCTTATGATGATCGTACATGACGAAAGTGCTCTGAATACCGAGTAGAACAGATGTGCTCTTAAGATGGTTTAGAGCAAGTGTAGTTGGTAGGGGGGGCGCCTACTACTACCACCACCACCACCACCACCTCCAGGACGATGACTACGACGACGACGGGTGCTACTAGTACGACTGCTATCACGACGACGACGACGACGACGACGACGACGACGACGACGACTACTTACCACTGCAACGACGACGACCACTAACTACGACGACGACTACGACTACTCCTGCTGCTGCTACTGCTACTGCTACTGCCAATGCTGCTGCTGCTGCTGCTGCTGCTGCTACTACTACGACGACGACTACGACTACAGTACGACTACGACGACTACGACTACGACTGCTACTACTACTACTACGACGACGACTACTACTACTACGACGACTACTACTACTACTACGACGACGACGACGACGACTACTACTACTACTACTACTACTACTACGACGACTGCTGCATTGCCGCTCCGCCGGCTGCGACTACGACTACCCGACCCCTACCCCTTCTCATTTGTCTTACGCCTACTCCTACTCCTACTCCTCCTCCTGCTGCTGCTCCTGCTGCTGCTACCGCTACCGCTGCCGCACTGCTGCTGCTACTGCTACCACCACACAACGACGACTGTCACCACTGCTGTCAGTTACCACCGCGGATAATAACAATAACTGAAACAATAATGCTGCTGCTGCTGCTTTTACGAGGAGGGGGAGGACCACAGCATCACCACTACTGCTGGTTCTGGTGCTGTTGCTACTGACAACAAGGCCACAACTATGATACTAATACCACCGCCAAGTCCAAACCCCACACCTAATATTGTTTGGAACAGACCATCATCTGTGGCGTTTTGAAGCGGATGTTTGGAAGTCTGGAAACATGCTGCCCACTCTAATGGCGTTCGATCCAACCTAGATCTGACAACTTCTCCAATCTGAGTGGCGCATGCCTGACTTGACGCCTCTTCACTGGGGCTGGTGCTGTGATCCCTTGCAGGTCTTCCCGAAATTCCACGGGCACCGTCTCCGAAGCCTCCTCCTTGCTAGATTCGAGAACATTCAGTGCTGCGGGCACACAAGAATCCTATGCGGTTCATGAATGTAGCAAGTTCAAGCGCTTGAAAGCCAGAACACCTGGACTCGTGCTGCATGACACTATGGAGAACACCACACTACGCCTGGCCGGAGAGGGCTGGGCGCCAACGGCAGAAGACCTGTGGTGACACTTTTGAAGATTCGGCGACAAGACGATCTCGGCTTGCCGCACGATCCAGCAAGGCAACCGAAGGATTGGCCCAGTTTGTGGACATGCTGAAGTCTTTGAAACAGTGCTAGGGAGAGTACGGCAAAATTTCACCCTGCGAAAGCCCGCACGACAAAAAACTCCGACTGCGTGCACTAGCTTTCCTGCCAGTCTCGAAGCACCACAGACACGCAGAGGCTATGCGGAAGGAGCGGTGGGGGCTTGGAGAGTGGGGCTCCAGCAGAGATGCAAAGCAGCGGCCAGGCTGAGCACCAAACCCGCACGTTGCCCTTGAGGCTGAGGATCTCCTTGGATGCAGGACATCTGCATTCTGCCAAACCTCAATTTTTACCGAAAAATAGACTGGCAGCAGAAGGGTTGGGGGTTTTTACCTCATCTCTACCTCTACATGCCACCTCGCGATGGATGCGGACTATGATCCACCAAAGCATGGGCTCTGGACTAAACTATGTGCAAAAGCTGATCGAAAACAAAGCCACATTAACTTCAGACTGGATCTGTTACCGGTCCGGCTTTGCCTGGGGCTATTTATCGTCAATTCTCGGTCGGGTCAGGTTTTGGACGCAAACTGTGCCCTGGTTCGTGCAGGAAAGTGGCCACTTGCCCTATTGTGCCTGCCGGCGGGGTGGGGATGCCAGAAATCAAGAAATGTCGGCCAGTTCGGGCATTGAAATCGGCTCTGCCAAGAGCGATGCCAACAGAGCTGTAAGATGCCTGATTTGGAGCATTCCAGGTACTCACCCGCGTTAGCGACACAAGCTATCCATGTCTGCTTCGAAATCCGTATGTTTGACTGTTGACTGGTCATTGTCATTTTCTACTTGCCACTCATTGGTTTGAATTCCTGTGTGAATGCCGTACTCCGGCATGGTGGCGGCAGACAGTCTGTCGAATTCTGCCGATTAACTCCAACGCTAACACGAGCCGTAGCCTCAACTGGGGCAGATGTGCGACATTGTCTGACGGGACTGACTGCTAAGCCGCTGAGCAGTCTCAGCCTCGGCGCCCGGCGTTGTTCATGCGTCGTAGGAGGTCCCCACACTCCGCCAGCAGGGAGGTCCGGCGCTGGCATCACATCAGATTTTGAAGCAAGGGAAGATATGGCTCCATGCCACAGCCGTCGCTCCCTAGCCTACGTACGACTGGCCTGTACCTCACAAAGAAAGCTCTCAGTCTGCTGCAAGATTCTCTGATGCCACGAACTCAGGCCGGCAGACGGTGTGGTGGGACGGGGGGTTGGGTGATCTGCCTTTCGTGCGCGAATCATCGCAGAGCATACGGGACATCAAGTTGGGGCCTTTATGCCGGTTCTAGCAACCAGCATCAGCCAAGGTGTACATACACACAGGCAGGAGCTGGAGGCACCCCGAAGAAAAACACTTCAAACTCTCGTTGGCGAATGCTGGGAAATTCTCGCTGTGCCTTTGGCTCCATGTCTGGCAACATTAGCGGCCCTGCGCAACTGCCGTGACTCAGTTCAGCGTCAGCTGGAAAGCTTCAGTGCGAGCGGAGGAATTTTGTTCCAAAGCTCCTGACCTGGGCCGAGAGGGACCGACCACATAAAAACATCGTGCAACACATGCGCAAACGAGCAAAGATCATAAAGCGGCTGACCAAGGAAGGCCACGATGGACTCGCGAGGTGTGTGATGAGACTGATGGGCCTCGTGCTGCGACTGCTTCCGTTGTGACGGCTTTGATGTGCCTTTGGGATATGCCAGAATGTATCGGTGCCCAGGGTCCTTCACCATGGAAAAGATGATGAAGAGAACGAGGCAAATCACGATCTCAGCGTGCAAAGGCTCTCCGAGGCATGTGAAGCAGAAAAACTTGGAGCTGATAACGTCAGAAAGATTTAGCAAAGCCAAACTCAACTCAAGTCGCCAGAAATTGTACTTTCTGGAAAACATGGAAGCCAAGGAACCAGGATCAGGATCAGGGCCGTCCAGCGCCATCTGCAAGCACTGCGAGCTCTGCTGGCCTCGCGGCAATCCAGTGTCTCATGGTTGAAGGCGTCGAGCAAGTGGCGATGGCATCACTCGTAGCCTGCAGAAGCACCTCGTGCCCCCGCTTCACCTGCTCCTGATCATGATGTTGCAGCCCTGCACGCTTACTAACTTCGCAAACGAAGGACCGAAAGAGAAGAGCTGAGCCATGCACCCGCGTTGACGCCACATGGCTTCTGAGTAGACACAAGCGATGGCAGCAATCTGGATTCTCCACCACGGCTGGCTTCGCGTCTCAGCGCCTGGCCCGATGTCATTCAGGATTTCGCCTTGGGAATTCACAAGGGACTCGACGTCCACGAAGACCTCCACGGCTCAGCTCCACTGTAGACCATACGGGGCACAACACGCGAGTCGGCAGACGGACCCATGACTGCGTTTCAACACCTTTCATGGCAAGTAGGATGGGGGGCAACTGGCATCCGTGGGGGCTGAAACACCCGAAAAACAAAGCCACTACTAGTTACTCGTCAGAGCTCTCGGCCTGACTCAGATCCCGCGCGGCGCGCGCAAGGTTGGCCAGCTCGTCGCCTGATCTGGTTTTTACGAACTTGTGGATTTTTGCCAGTGCGTCTGGCGTCTGGTTCGACTATACGAGTCTTCCAGGGTGGGGAGCCTACTGCAGGATCTGAGGGACGGGCACTTCTCACGAGTAGCCTGCAGCGCGCTGGCCGTTGTCAAGGGCGCGGTGCCTATTCAAACAGAAAGCTTGGAGATCCCATGCAAGCAGACGTGAACCAGGTCGTGTGATTTTGTGCCTGACTGGCGCAAGATGGCATCTTGGATCGTCGAGGCTGCGGAGGCACGGCCTCGAGGGCCACTCTTTGCTCTAAAGGCTGGCTCCGGAGAGCCACGAAAAAAGAGGAAGAGAGCGGTGGCGACATCGATCTTCTTAAAAGAAGACTCTCGCGAGTCTGAATGTGAGCCATTGGAAATCAGAAGCTCATCAAGGAAGAAATGCGGCCTGCAGCCACAGCTTCGACGACCTGAATGAATTTGGACACAGCCTACCGCTCGTGATTGTTTTGGGGCGTGACGAGCACATCACAATAGTTCTAAACCATGAGCCAAGAATTTGCTGCCAGAACACTGTGTCATCAGCTTCCGGAAAAGCTGCACGGAGCTGTCGAGAAACTTTATCCTCTGCACATTCTACTAGCATGCAGTAACAAGCTTCGGGCAAACTTAATTATGGAGCAAGTAACAGCAAAAAGCAACCCTGCTCGCAAACAGCGGGGCAGTTCCCAATGCCAGTCCTCCATTTCTTGCCGGAACCTCATCTGTGCCTGGAAATAGGAATTCAGCGCGTTCCTGGGTCAGGCATCGCCCAACACCGCCAGAACGCAGCCGAGCCATCCAAAATTAAGCCCGGCTCTGGAAGAGGACCGACACCCCTGCAAAAGCTTGTCGTCGTAGGGCGGCCTCACACGACAAAACGCGACGCGTGAGCATATGAGCACAAAGATTCCGGTAGGCCCTCTACGAGATTTAAAGATTCTACCACATACATCCGTATGCAGCCCTTCACCTGTGGCAACACACGCCTGTTCATGTCTTCAAACGATGATGGTCAGCGGGCGTGGTGATGGCGGCGATGCTGGTGGTAGGAACTCTGTTGCCTTTGCCATTTCCGTTGCTGCCCCTGCTGCTTTGACACCACGGTCATCATCATCATCATCATCATCATCATCACCATCATCATCATTATCATCATCATCATCGTCGTCATCGGTATCGGCATCGCCCATTTTCTTGGTATCAGCTTCTTAAGGTTGTGCTTGTGATACTTTCTTCTATACCCGACAAAAACAAACTCCGAGACTGCTTCTGCTTTTGCTGCTGCTGTTGTCTGTCATGGTACAGGCAAAGCTTTTACAAAGGGACACATTGCATAAGAACTTCCAGCAAAGGCGAAGTTGCCTCAAAACTGACAGCCTTAACGTACCCCACCTTTCGGTCAAGAGCAGGGTCAGTTCCTCGTTCGGGGTGGCTTGGTCGTTGCCTTGCTTGCTTTGACAACCCCGGAACAGGAGCTTGGCCTAGGACTGCTAGGGCTGTAATTGCTTCCGGCTGCTGAAAGTTTATGATTGGAGCCGGCCATCGATTTCCTATACCTTCTGTGGCCACCATCGCGGCTACTTACTACTGCTACTCCTGCTCATGCCTACTGCTGCTACTGCTGCCCACCGTGGCCCATCATACGTAGGAGGGTGTGCCAAAGGCATCCAATGGCAACTCTCATGATACCCAGTTTGGCTCAAGGTACACATCGGGCTCAAGGACCGTGTTTGCAGTGCTGATGCTGCAACGGTCACCTCGTGGGCTAAGAAAGCAGAGAGATGCCTCCGAGCCAGTAGCACCGGGCTCTGGAGCCATGGACTTGAGCTCGCTACACGTCCTCCACAAATCTCGGCGGCTCTTAAGGAGTGGGGAAGCTCTCGGTCAAGAGACATCTACATACTTTGCTGCCTGCCTATGCTGCCCCTTTCTAGCCAAGTCCGGGCATCTAGTTTGTTCGAGGGTATCAAGCTGGAATCCGACATGGTGACGCAACAACTGCCACCGGCGGCTCCTGGATGCTGCAGCTGAAGCCCGCTCGGCGCAGGCTTCGGCCTTCAGCAGTGCCTTATATGGTTGGGCAAACGGCCCGCCAAAACGTTGGTTGATTTCAGTTGCGGAGACCAAGGCTCCTGCATCTTTTTCTCCTTTGGCGGTCGTTGCGCTCAAGGCTGCAAGATGAAGCGTCTGAGCCTCCCCGAGAGAACCTGCATGGAATCCAGGTCTACGTATCGATCGGCCCGGTCGGTTTCGAGACGGTTCGAGAGCCTTCCAGCTCCTGGAGCGGCCCGAGCCGGACAGACTCCAGCTTCGCCAGGAAAGCCTGCAGAGGATCGCCTCAGAAGGAGTGGTCGGAGAGCAGGCAGCAAGCGCCAAAGCGATGGCTTGGTGCCTGCATCGGCGCGACGCAACAGCGAGCTGGAGCTGGAAACCGAGTAGGGCTGGATCCTGGGCGGCTAAGGCATGGCTACAAGTGCCACAAAGTTGGTACAAGCTAGGCAGCGCCGACATGTGGCTCGCATGCCGCAATCTGCTGCCGCGGGCACAGAGGTGTGGGTGGTGGCGATGCCTCCACTAGAGTCACTAGAGTGTATAGAGCTTAGCATCCAACTAGAACGGAGCCTCTTGCTGAACATTCACTCTATCCTCTTTCATTAGATAGGAAACTTCCGAGTATCAAGGACAACGGAACGGAGAGAGGCAACGTCGGAATGGTGGAATGGGCAACAGAACAGAGTCAATATGCAAGCAACTGCTACAGCTGCTGCTCCTGCTCCTAGTACTGCTGCTACTACTGTAGCTCCCCCACCTCCACTACTACACCAAAGCCTACCTCTACTACTACGGCTACTGTGGCTATTACTACGACGACGACAACTGCTACTTACTACTGCTACTGCTTCTGCTGCTTCTATTACTTCTACGACATCTATCAACTAATTCTACTACTGCTTCGACTACGACTATGACTATGACGACCATACGAGTACCACTACTACTCCTTCTCCTGCTGCTGCCGCAACTGCAACTGCAACGACAACGGCAACCGCTACCGCTACTGCTGCGCCTCTCCTCGGTACGCCTAAGAATAATACGCACAATAATCAAAACAGTCACAATCATAATCATACTAGGAAGAAGAATCAGCATAACAATGATAATAATAACAACAATAACAGCAACAAGAATATTCTACTACTTCTGTTGCTACTTCCACTGCTCCTGCTGCTGCTCCTGCTGCTGCTACTGCTGCTGCTGCTGCAGCTACTGCGACTCCTACCGCTGCCGCTACCGCTACTGCTATAGAACCGCTTATGCCTTCTGAAATCCGTACTGGCCTCCGGCGATCGCAACAGCCTCGGCGAAGCTGCGCCGGAGGAGCGCCGCGTGCGGCCACGCGCCGCAGCCGCGGCCGCAGAGCGCAGGTCGTCCAGGCGGTCGATCATCGAGGACAAGACTGTAGCTGGGTGTTCTGAGTGACCTGTTCATCAGTTCTCGAGCCGATGGTTCTACCTCCACCTATGGCATTAATCCTTGCTTCAGGGATGTTTAGAAGATGCCATGCAACACAAAAAGCCCGCTCAGTTAGCTGAGTGTTGCCGTGTGTTCATACTCCGGAGGTGCTTCAATGAACAGTTACGAACCACACTTCGCCAGTGTAACAAATCAGAAAGTGCGGAATGTGGCCTTCCTCGATTGACCAGTTAGTTCTTCATCTTCCTAGTGCCTCGTGACAGGCAGGAATAGATCCAAACACTGCCAAATGCATTCAAAAGATGCAGCATCTCAGCTCGCAGAAAACATACAAGGATCAGAGATACTCAGCATGCTTCGATTCTTGAACTCCCGCCTACCCACGCCATTCGACACAGCAACGACGCGTGCACTGGGGTCGATCGGGATGGTGGTGCGTCGGCAGAACCAAACCCTGGAATAGCAGCCACTTCCCCAAGCTCGTTGCTGAGGCCTGGAAGTCTGCACGGTTGTTGGCCAAGACGCGACGCAAGTTCTGCAACAGTGTTCACATCAATGTCTGTTCGGTGAAAGTCTGCCTACAGTAGTGGTTCCAACATAAATTACACAACTGAGCAGGTTCTACGAAAGTAGAAGTCTCGAAGATGTGAGGTTTAGTCTGGGGTGCGGTGCAGAAACTGTTTCGGTCCGTTTGGGCCACTGGGAACTCCATTGATTCCACCTCCTCGCGGCATCGAAGGGCCCCACGGCCTTCACTGGCCGTGCCACAGGCTGCCTGCAGCATAGACATCCAGAACTAGGTCAATGAGAGCCGCTGCGTGGAGGACCACTCCGGCTTTTCAGGTCGTGCTAGACATGATCGGCGCCGTAGTCGTGCTCACTCGGACGATGCATCGATGCAGGACTCCACCGCTTCGTCGTAAGAGCACTTTTCTCTCGGCAGTCGATGTTCTCAAGGTAAATTTTCGTAACGGCGGCTCCCCATTGCAGCATTACAAGGGCCGTAGCCTGGCTAGGCCGAGCTCGTGCCAATCCCGACCCAGTGAAGTCTCCCGCGGGCCTCCAGATTCGCGAGCTTGCCTCGGCAGGCATAGCTGCAACAACAAAGGTTTTTGCAAGAAGGGGCTTTGGTACGATTTCCTGCGTTCGCGTTGCCTTTTAAACATGATCGTGGCCTGTGCCGGCAAGGCCATCAAAGCCTCTGCTGAACAACTCAAACACAAGCAAGCTACGACCACAAACAGCCAAGTAGCAACAAACAACAACCAACAAACAGCAAGAAGCTGCCACCAACAACCAACAGCAATCACAAGCAAGAACCTGTGTGTGTGTGTGAATATATATATATATATATATGTTCTATACAATGGTACATATGTCGCCTTCTCCATCTCAGTCCATCTCTCTCAAAATCAGGTCGCCAACATTCCCAAAACACGCACAGCAACACTGCAAAAAGCAATGCTACAGGAGGTAGACCCGGGTCCAGCCTTCCAGCTTCGTCAGAGCCTCTTGATTGCGAGTGACGACGCTGCGTAGGTCACGCGTCTGCTGATCCTCCTGCAGCAGACGGGCTCTGAGACTTCAGCCAAGGGCAGAGAGAACGACAGAGGCATCTTTTTCTCACCTAAGCAAGAGGCTACTGTCTGGATCGCAGCAAACTATCTTGCCTCGTTTCCTCATTCTGTCCTTCTCATGTTCTTTACTGATCCCATTTTATGCTGTCTCGATCCCTGGCCCTAGCATTTTATCGAGCCCTGTCCATAGCTCAGAGGCGCCTGAAGGTGCCTGAATCCTGGAAGCCCAAGGCCCAAGGCACCTCTGCAAGGGCGACCTTTGCCTCTTCAAGGCCATCGGCCGCAGCCTGCAGGCTTCTTGATGGGGCGGATGCTATGCCTGCTATGCTTTGAAGTGGAAGAAACCCAGAGTCTCGGGGATTGGCGGTTGCAGACTCGCCCAGCGACTGCAGCCGTTCAGGGTGGCCTGCAGGCAGCGGAAGTTTCTGTCTCAGCCTGTGAGGTTCTCGCCTAACCCAAGGCAAAGCCAGCCGCAAAGCAGCAACGCCAGACTCCGGGCTTGCAGCCACAGCTGGAAGGGGAAACAGGGTCCAGGTGTGAGCCCACGTCGTCTTCGGGTCTTAGGCCTATGACTTCGAACTTTGAATCCTGAAGCCTCAAACACTGCTGTCCGTTCTCCACGGGCTACAATTACAATAGCCAACCACCAAGATGCTTTCGATCGACGGCTTTCGGGACGACCCTCTCAGTGTTTTGTCACGACGCGCACCAAGTGATGTTGGCTTCGGTCTGCAGAAACCTCTGGTTACCCCGACTTGGCCACATCTCCGGCAGGTGAAACAAGTTGTGCAACTGCCCGAATCCGTACTTGCCGCTACTGAAGCACATTCATTCTCAAGCGCATCATTCTTTTGCACGGCTTATGCCGTGCAAGACTCCGCAGCGGGCGATCAGCCAGTGAGCGGCGGCTCGAAGTGAAGCTCTGGAGAGAACTCATTCGGCCACGAATCCATGGTGTCAACATCCTTGGCCCGATGTACTGTACAGGTGCCAGGCGACATAGCTGACATGACAGTAGAGACTGGGATTGTTTGAGAGCTGCTACACCTAATCGCAACTTATGCCGAGCTGCCAAGTCTTGTCGACCCGTGGCGTTGATGTCGCTCGCATGAACGTCTCGATGCGCCAGCAAATTTCCTAAGTGTTACATGGCCGAGCTCTCACGGTTAGCCGCCGGCCCAGTCCATCGTTGCCTGAACAAGCCCTATCAAAATCAGCCCATTGCCGACGGACACTGTCATATCTCGTGGACTCAGCAATTTCCCAACGTCGTCGAACAATGGATAATTAGGCCGCTTGAAGCACATCATTGATGCCAGAAATGCAGCGAGAGCGCTGGCATTTCTGGTGTCGACTTTGCAATACTTCAAGTCAGAATACCTGGGGCACATTTCTTCGCGTGTCTACTGGGCCTGCCTGGCACACGGATGGATGATGCAGACATCTTAGTGCACGCGCAGGATGCAACATGTCAATGGGAATTGCGGCCACGTCCTGTTCCAATGAGGAGTTCCTCGGCTTCGCCGGAGACAGTGCACCAGCTGATTTCCTGTGGCGTTGCGTAGCTCCGCCAAGTGACCAGAGGTAAAAAGGCATGAGAAACTGGTCGCGCTGGATGGTGCGACATTGCTCTAACACCTGCCTGCAAGCTTCAGAGGTGCAAGCTTGAAACTAGCCTGATTTCTGAGATCCTCACATCCTCAGAGCCGCCCCCCAGGACGTATGACAAACGAAGATCAACGATGCGGTTAGTCAAGGTGCCGGAATGTGTCCTTGATCTCGTCGGCCCTTGCATGCGCCTCATGACGAAATATGCGGTTGAGTGCTGGTAACGGCATCTAGACAAATATGGCTTCAGGGCCTTGCATACTTTGTTGTTGCACCATTGCACCATCGTATCACCTGCTTTGGGCCAAGAGGCAACGTTGCGGAACATGACGCTCAGCTCGTAGTAGGCAGCAGGGACAAAAGGATGCCTAGCGTGACCAACGTGACGGGATACATCCCGAACCCATCTGGCTGAATCTGTTGTACATGAAGCCACAGGAGCCGGACGCAGTCAGAGACGTAGGTCTAATGAGCTTGACATCTCCCTGTAAGCTATGACCCAGTGCAAGCAAGGAGCTTCGGGTCCTCGTGGAGTTTCTTCATCTGCTCCTTCCACTTCACGATGCGCTCGTAAGAGGTCTCCACATACTCCTTCCTTGCGTTGTCTGCAAGTATGGGTTGGTGGAAAGCTACACAAATGCAGTCATGCTCGCACAGCGAGATGTGCAGCTAAGCTTCCGATTTTGGAGCATGTCCTCACACTCCCACAAGAAGCAGTCCCAGGGTTGGCATTCCTTCCAGTACCACTTCAGGAGGACCAAGGACTTGTCGCTGTATCTGTCCAGCAGCGGCCGCAGCTTCGCCATGTCCATGGAGATGTCGCCATCAAACTCAACCAGCCAGTCCTAAGCATTCAAGGTTCGGGACACTCCGAACGCCGGCTGCCATGGAACCCTTGCTAGACTTTCAAAAAATTGACACCAGAATCACCAGAAACCACTGCAGCTCTTGTACACCAAGGCTCCCATGTGCCGTTTAACAGCCATGAGGGCGGCGTGAACTTCAAAGATTTTGCAGCGAAGCGGGCCTCACTTGGTTTTACATGCAGCCTTGCTCACACAGATGCGCAGAATCGCCTCTGTATGCTCGGTTTCTTGACACTTTCTCTCGGGGGCTCAGGCGTGGTATACTAGACGAGAACCTGGAGGGTGCTGACGATCAAACTGAAGCGTCATCACGCAGGGCTGGCACTAAGACTGCAGCAAAGCAGCCTTAGGAACCTCGCTGGTGCCTTCCATTGTGGGCAGCATGGTGAGGATCCACCTCAATTTCAAAACTGGCCCAAGATTGAAACAGCCCGGCAAGCGTTGAGATGATTAAAGCAACAACACATCACAGGGTCGGTGTGGCCAAGAAGCCAACCATGCTTTCGCCAAAGGTCCAGCTTCTCACTGCCGGCCGATGTCCTGTTCAATCCTCTCTCTTGAACCCGAAGCGGGGAACCCGGACAAGAATAATTTGCTTCAAGTTGTTGATTTGGCTGTACTTCATCATCACCATGCTTACCATCACCATCATGTTGGGTATCGGGCGTGAAGACCGTCGCGGAGCTGCGGAAAAAATACTTCGAAGCACTCGCTGGTGGAGCTGTGACCGCCCGCTCAATTATTATCAGCTTAGCTTAGGCTTCAGGCTTAGGTTTAAGAAGAGCGCAGCCATCCTGTGTCTATGACTATGCACAGCCTGTGCAATGCACTATTTTCGCAAGACCGCAGTGACGTTGAAACACAGGGGTCCGCCTGGTCACGTCATCCAAAATGAAGAAAGCATCCACCCCACTTGGCACACATGGCCTTGGTTCGGGCTTGCTCGAAACCATTCCACTCAAGTGCTTTATGAAGCGGCTGGTTGCATCCTTCCGTGCTCCAGGCATCCCCAAAGACTCAGTGTCTGCCCTGAGATGCTGGGCTCGAGGCACGTTGAAATCCCGGATGTCTTCATACGCTCCCGTAACCTTGGATGGCTTCGGGAAGATGGCTCAACTTCGCCGATTGATCGTCAGAGCTCTACGTCTCAAGCTGAGCCTGTTCAGGACTAACTTGTCTGCGGCGGAATTAACGATGGTTGTGTTCCCAGTCCTTTGCTCATGCGAGTTGTGTCTGACTGGTTGGGTTTGCAAAAAAGAATCTTCCTTTCCAGGTCGGGGGTCTGTTCCGGTGAAACAAGCTTTGTGCCCGGCAGCATATGTGTAGACAGCGATTCGCTTTGCAGTTGCTCCGGAGTCCGATCTTTCCTGGCACTCGTCCGACCTCCGTTGACAAAACATGCGCTATCTGCACTCTTCAGTGAGAACAGCTTCGAGCCATCTCCTGAGGTACGAGTCGTTTCTCAACAGGTCGCGCACTCAGTGCACCTCTGAAACCCCCAGGTCTTCAGAGCTGCCTCTGTTGACAGGTGTCCACTTTGTTCAACACGAGAGAGGAGCCGCTGTCCAACCTTGGCTTCGGAACAAGGAACAGACTATGAGTGTGACGACTCGGATACATCCGAAAGGTTGCCTGCGTCTGCTACGCCACAGGATTAAGAACGGCAGGGCGGCTCTGGTGCCAACTTCCCCGGTGGGATCGCCATCTCGATCGCGCCCCCGGACCTGCAGCTTCCGATTTGGGGTGCCCTACTTCCGCCGCACGTGTTTCTTCGCATGCCGGACGAGTCTCTGCATGACAGCACATCAATCCCACTCCCAACCCCTAACGCGCATCCGAGTGGCGCAACCTCTGCTCTGCGGACGATTGTTGATGCAGAGGCCTTGGATGCATGCTGGGGCTTGAGCTTGAATCCCTTTCGTGTCAGAGCTTTCTAAGGGGGCAGCCCCGAAGAAGTTGAGGACCACCAGGGCCAACAGCACTATCATCACCTGCCGATCACCTCGGTCGTATCTTTCAGACTCTGTCCTCGGACTGGTCCTGATTACATAAGCCGCGAAACTGAATGGAAAGAATCACAGGAGCACGGGACCTATTTGCAGTCTCTCTGGGAAGATACCTAGCTCACACCGTGGAACTGTTCCAAAGGACCAACGGAGTGCCAAAACCGAGCGGCCGGTCTGCATAGTGCATGGAGCTATGGGCAAGTGGAGGTTTCCACAAGGCTTCCACAGAGTTGCCCAAGGGCGACAAGCGTCTCTCGCTTCCGGAGTTGCGCGTCGGCTTCAACTATGGAAACATACTTTGCTCGCAAACAACGCTCTGAGCCAAATGGCTTTCGGCATCATCTGAAGTCTGAGCCGCCCAATGCCATGATTTCCACTGAGTGGGCCCATGAACTTGCATGCAGCATGGCGCATGGCAGGCAAGCCTGCAGTGGCTTCCTTCAGCTCCTGTCAGCACAAGGCTCTTCCGCGAAGTTGCATTTGCCCGAAATCACAGCACAAACGTTGGTGGAAGGCATGCTTCAGTGAGTCCATCCTCCAGACTGCGCAGCAACATCACCACTGGGCAAGAAAAGGTGCACTGTCCGCTGTGCGACCCTGCCTGCGAGAGGCCTGCGGATCGGAAGAGTACCTATGGCCAGGGCAAAGCGAATGCAGATCCTTTCGCATCAGCAACTCGGGGGTCGGAGGACTTGACCTCGACGTTACCCGGAGACTCCCATTGGCTGAAACCGCTCCGCGCGGTCGGGGGCCTGCTCACGGCGCTGCCGCCGTCCAGCCAAGGCCCTCCTGAGCTCGGCCATGGCCTCAGGAGGGGAACTTCTCCGCTTCTCCCAACACGTGGTTGCCGTGGTTACCCCAATTCTGTCAGCCTCGTGAGCCGCTTCTGCTCGGCGTTGCTGCTCCTCATCAGATGCAACATCGAGAAAACGTGAGACAAGACTCCTAGATGAGATGGATTTGCAGGCGGCCACGTGTGAACTGACAGAGACAAGCGATTTATATCGGCTCGCCAAGCCCTCACCCCCAGCCCGCTCCCAGAGCGCATTTGCCCAAGCTGCACGAGTACCTTGGCTTGCAGTGCAGCTGGCAAGCAGCATTTGCCTTGAGTTCGCTGCTTTTGATGTCGTTTTGGCCCAGGATCACGGCACCACACCGGCACTTCTGCTCGCCAAGACTGCTTCTGCCACTTCTGCTCACGGCCAAAGCTCGGGCACAGGACTTCGCATCCTCTCAAGAATCGATCGGGGTGAAACACGGGCGACATGGACGACCGGCACTGGCGTCCGTAGATCTGGCCGTTCTACACAGGCATCATCCCAAAGGAGGGGGAACCCTTTCTTATGGGAGCATGCGCTACAATCATGCTACGAGTCAGTCGGTTTCGGGGCCTGATGACTGCCGTCATGTCGTTTGTTCTGCGTTCACTGCATAAGTTTCATGACCATCTAAGCAGACCCTTCGCCGCCGTAGATTTCGTGCCGTAGAATGGCGTCAGCACACTTCACGAGGTTGCCGCCCGCTGGCAGGGACGAGCCCCGGCTGTAGAGGAACCTGGCACGGGGAAAATGGTCGTTGTGCATAGAGGACTAAGAGCTCGCCCTTGACGGATATCTTGAGAATATGCGCACTGCCAGTCTCAGCTGCGGAGCTGGTTCAAACCGTCGGAAAGCAACCGCAGCGCTGTCTCGAAATGCACCCTTAGATATGGGCACGTCAGCACTGAGGACAACGAGTCATGAGCTTCATGAGACTTCATGTCAAGCTCCAAGCTGCTTGTCGCTCGAACGGCCGTAGTGAAGAGGCCACTCGCCCGAGGCAGGCCTTTTGCCTCTCAGGATATAAGTTTTTTCCAACCCTCTCCGACGCGCGCACTCTGCAGGTCAGGGCACTGATATAAGTTACCTTTGAGATTCGGTTCATTGCAAATGTCTAGTGACTAGTGGCCGTCTGCTCCAAACAATGCCTGACTGTGTCAGTTCGACAACCTGCCTTGAATGCATCACTGTTTACCTGTTCCTCGGGCAAAAGCCTCGCCCGCGCATGCTGCATCAATCAATCGGGAGATGTGTCGGCATCTATTTGCGGAAAATGCTACCAACAGATCAGCAAGACTCGAAGCGCATATAATCACATCAATTGCTCTTAACATGCCTGGGCTGCAAAGACCGGCGATCAGCTGTCTGAATAAGCTGAAACTGCGACTGGTCGCAATACCAATTGCAAACCACAATGCAACTGAACACGCGAACAGACAACAGATGAGGAATTGGTGGGACAGTTTCGACGGTCGGCTCGTGCTTTTTGAGTCGTCAGCTTTTGTTTGCTATCCCGCAAACCTTTTCAGGCCACCAGCGCGAGACGTGAATCTGCTTGGGCGTTTCTGCTTTGATTTGAGTATTCCTGCAACACCAAAGCTGCAGGCCAGCAATGCCCACGCAGAACTGGACATGGAATTCAAAGGTCACAGACCCAAGTGCAAGCACAAAGGGCAAAGGTTTCCTCGTCTTCGGACTCTCAATCCTTACCTTACTTACCTTCCAGAGACTCGTCTCCTGTATCATCATGATGGCCACGAGTTGGCTTTAATCTGTACCCGAAGGGCACTAGGGGTCGTAATCTCAGTACCTGCACAAGAAGAAAGATGCCGGTCCCCAGGACCCTCACTGGAGGTACATTCCGTCGCCATTCTCAGAGCAGAGTTACATGGCGTGTCAGAGGCTTTTGCCCTTCTGGCATCTACGAGTAGCCCTGGAGCCCGAACTTCTTGCCTCCACGGCCAAGGCCGAAGGCACCCCGTGATGGTGAAAGAACCTCGGGCGACTCGTTCAGGTCCACCTGAGTTGAGACTTCATGGCTGATAAATAGTGTGCTACTGCGGCTACTGTATGAGCTTGCCTTGCCACGACTCAGCACCGAGTTTACTCGTCCCCTCAGCACTCCAAGCGCGGATCCTGAATACCCGCTAGCTCCCTTTTCGCTTTCGCTTCAACGATCTTGTTTATGCACAGGTCCCGCTGTAGGGTGAGAGACCGTTGCATGAAGGATTGTGCCATGCAGTCTCAGGAGCTAATGAATGCGACATGTCAGACGTGGCCCAAGCGGTCACGTTCCAACTAGTGCCTCAACAGCCTGGCATCAACAAGGTCGGCCGAACTGATTATCTGTATGATGCATGGCCCCTTCCAACCTTTTTTGCAACTTCAGTCCTACTAGGATGCTACTCACTTGAGGGGCAATCTTGATGCAAGTCGACACTACCCTCACTACACTGGCTGACTGCGACTAACCACACCCATCGGCTCGGCATGCACGTACCGCAGCACGTGTATCAGAGAGAGAGACGCACTGCCGTGGCAACCCTGGAAGACCGCACTGCAATTGGCCATGCTATAACTTGTACCCGATATCGTAACATTTTAGATGTCCGATCGAATGGTTATAGGGTCTCGCTGCAAATGAACTTCGGGCCGGAGGAAAGCGGCAGCCCTACGGCCTTCCAGACACGAGCAGCTTGAAAATCAAGTTCAAAGGAGGGAGCTCAGTTCGTTGCCGCGAATCCTTCGAGTCGCGGTCCACGATCCCGGTCCCCAATCTCAAACAACAATGGCTGTTGCCGCCTTGGCCTTGACGATGGGGTAGGACGGCTGATCCTTGATGCCGCACTCGCCGTCTTTGGGCACCCCGCGCTCGATTCGTACAAAGCCACTTTCTCCCCAATTCCCGCCCCGTTGAAAGTTTTACTCCATGTAGTGGCTGAACCAGTCATGGATGTCCCCCTGCTCATGGCTCCATCGGCGACTCTGGCGGTCGCCCGCGTTCGAAGCCAAATGCCTGTCTCAAGCCCTCACGGGTGCGTCCTAAGTACTGCAGTCTCGCAGTGGCCTCAGTCAAAGAATCTGTAGGCGCGGACCAACCTAGTCGCCTCGTCCAGGGATCACCTCGGTGATGAAGTCGTCCATCCTGCCAATGATAGCAGCTCCACGCCGCATGCTCCCAATTTGGGACCACGCGTTCCTGACACAGACTGCACGAAACCAACCTGCAGAGACCGTCACGAGCTCCACGCTTCTTCTGAGAGTAGTTGGCTTCGCTGCACGCACCTCCAAGAAGGACTCCCCGCTGTTCAGCGGTGGCTCGTGCATACAGACG